TGGGTGACAACTAGTAAGAAATTGTTCTCTAATTAGCAGCTCTCTAAGCTCATCGTACTCCTGCGCTGTCCCTGAAAGTTCAATCCATCTGTCGAAATAATGGCAAAGTCGGGCGGCATACTGCGTAGCTGTCTCACCGTCAGCTGGCTTTCCTGTCCGAAATCTGTCCCGGAATCCTTCCACAGTGAATCTAAATCGCTTCAACAAAGCAGCTTTCACCTTTGCGTAGTTGGCTGCATCGGTCGGCGTCAGCCTACCGTACACACTGAGCGCTTCACCACTCAAGCAAGTACTCAAAGCAGTTGCCCATTGCTGTTCCGGCCAATTCTGCCTCCTCGCAATCGTCTCAAATCTGTGGAGGTACGCGTCTAGGTCGTCCTTCCTTTCATCAAACGCTACGAGTAGCTTGCTTGGGTTCAAGCGGAAGCCGTGATCTTCCCGTTCGCTGCTTTCAACTCCAGATTGGACGGGAGTTTCACTTCGCTGTTGCAAACGGAGTCGCTCGAGTTCTATCTCGTGCTGTCGCTGCCGTTCCCTTTCCTCTCTTTCTTCTTTCAGCTGTCGCTCCCTCGCTTCTCTTTCTTCTCTCGCCCTTTCGGCTGCCAACTTCTCTCTCTCCAACTCAGCTGCTTTTTCTTCCTTGGCCCTCTCTGCCGCCAACCTCTCTCTCTCCACCGCCTCTTTCTCCTTCTGGCTTACCCATTTCCGTAGTTCGGCGCCGGAAAGACCCATCTTCTCACCAAGCGCAACTAACTTTTCGAGATCCATTGTGTCTCGCAACTCGCAAATAAAACCTTGCCGCGTGCAAAAAGTATCTGCCTAAATCGGTCTATCGGAACACTCCCCTGCACTCGTTAACGAGAACACTGAACAACACACAAAATCGTTCCGATAGCACTATCAACAACTCGAGGCTCTTTCTCACTACTTTGGACACACTGTGCACCAAAAGGTCCTGTTTCGCGGACGCCAGATTAATTGTCACACCGGTCCCGTTAATTAGGGAGGCAATCGCCGGGCTAATTCCAAGGGTCGAAGTATCGGCCCCCCGAACCGCACCACGAAAGCGTGGACAATTTAGAAGTGGTCCTTTTTGGCGCGCCAGCGGACGCCGGCTGTGGCCCAAAGAACAAGTCAGAGCCGAGAGTTGATAAACAAAACAAAGATTATATTCTCAAAAATGGCAGATCGAAAACAATACGCAAGAATGCACACTCCACAATAGTTACATACAATACGTCACCAATCAAACAACGTACTACACAGTACAATCAGCCACACTCAAAACAACGGACACAGACAACGATACGCACTACAATGCAGTCGCATGCATTGAGCAACCAAGACACATAAAGACTAAAGAGATAGAAAACCTATCCAGTCCAAAGTTCTTGGAACAAAAGTCTGGATGATACTCTTCCGAGAATCACTCACTCAAAGTCCAGCGTTGTTGTCGTTCCGCGCCCTCGAAGTTTCTCTTCAGGAAACCTCGCGTCTTCAATTGGCCACTCTCCAAGCTTCAAACTTCTTCGCCCGAACACGTCGGCTTCACACACGCAGCTGTCGCCACGCGTCCTCGCTCGATAGCGGTAGACACACGCTCTTGCCTGTAGCTCGAGCCTTCACCCCTCAGGTGGAAATCCTCTTCATCTCCGGCTTCGTCCCTACGGACCAAAACCTTCGCCGACTACACGGCGGAATCCCTACGCGCTCTGGCGCTCACTTCCGTCTCCTCCTGATCTCTCATCTCGGCTGCTCGGTTAAATACCTTGCGCGCGGCATTCCAGACGGTTCTCGTCATTTCGTCGGCGCGATACGCAGCGAAAGCTGGGAAGAGGGCGAGACGGTTGGAATGCCCTCTCCGGCCGATGAGTCAACTCGGTATGACCACGCCCCTTTCGTTCTGGAAAAATCGAGTGCTTGCTCAGCCGCCGTTGTGGGGTGAGGAGGTTCGTCGTGAAGCCACGCTTCTGCGGGGAGAGCGCGCGCCCGGGGAGCCTTGGACGTTTGCTTTCTTTTTTTTTTCTTTTTTTGACCTCGCGGCGTTTCTCCCGCCCGTTATCGCAAGAATTTGGCGGCGCGCCCGTTTTTAGCGCTCGTTTTGTGACAGCAGGAAACACAATTTCTTCACAGCATCCGTGGGGAAACACTCTTTTCTTCATCTTGCCCACTGGTCTCACCCTCTCGGAGCAAACGCGCTTACGGGAAGGTGGATATATCGAGCGTTCGTCCACACAGTCATGTGTGATTTCTCCGTTAATATATGCTCACCACTCGCCCCAAGCATGCACACGACTTAAAGGGACACTATAAATGAACTGGTTTACATTGATATTTTTTTTTCTCTGAATACTACAACGTCGTTAATCGAATTATTTTTTTTCTGTCCGTTACTGTACCGAACTGTCCAAAAAAAAAGGGGGGGGGGGGCATCCGCATAGATGTTCATCGTGATCAAAGATGGCACACGCAATTTGAACGTGCGCTTTCTTCAAGACGTTTACGGTATTACGGTTCCGCATGCAGCCCTGATAGGTCGAACATGAAGTAACTGATGAAAAATTCTTACAAAAAATTTTGTTCGTATTTTCACAGATCATCGACACTGGCGCATGCCCGCGGATACACCGTTTGCTGGTAAATCGGCCCCTGGAGGCATCTTGCTCAGCACACAACCGAGTTCATTTGAACACTACCCAACGTGGTTATCCATAAACACGCTCGCCGAGTCACTTATGAAAAAAAAAAGGCTGAAACGAGGAACACAAAGGGATAGAGCTGCTTGGGATTCGTCGGGTTCCAAGCCTCACGTGATGTACTTGCACAGGCTTCTGTCGCTGTGCGATGTGTCGCTGGTCTTTGCAGCGCAGGAAGAATTAACTCGCCGATTCGTGCCCGCGTCTATGCGTTGGCAAGAGACGCGGTTGCCAAAAAAAAAACTAATAGAAAAAAAAACATGACAAGGCCGTGGGAAGCTCCACGGGGGTTGTATACTCCATTCGTTTATTACGCGGAACAGTGCACGTCGGGCAAGAAAAAAGTGCCCGAATGGCCAGCTAAGGGATCATGCGCAAATAATAATAATAATAATAATAATAATAATAATAATAATAATAATAATAATAATAATAATAATAATAATAATAATAAAGAACAAAATTAAATATAAGTACGCGCATCTTGTGGTACATTCTGCGGGCGTGCGAACCGCAATCTCCCTACAAGCAGGTTCTCGGAAAAAGCTTGAATAATCTTTGCACAAGCGCAACTTTGTTTTTCATTGCTTTTGCGCATCATCCTGTGCGTATTACAAAATGGTCAGTCACGCACAATAAACTATAATAAGCGCTGTGTGCGTTAGGTGTTTTTCGATTGGAAGCGTCTGTGAGCGTGAGAGTGTTTAGAGGAATTCCCATGTTGCGATAAATTACTTATGAGTCCGCACCCAACCGTGGCTTCAGCTGCGGGGCCTTAAAAGTGTAGACGACCTTACGGTGCTCATTGGCCCCGCCACCTTTGGCTGTTAAGCGAATACTTTCTTTTTGTTTTTTGTAGATCGCAACTTGCACTAACAAAATGGTTAAACGTCGAGCGCGCCGACACGGCAATTTTCAACCGTATGCGTCTACTATATATAAGTCGTTGAAGCTGCAAATCGGCAATGCTATACAGCCCAATAAGGCGCCACCGACCCACACCCGTAAAATGGTCTACACGTATACAAACACAGCCAAAAGCCTAACGGAAACGCCATCTCATCACGCTTGCTGGTCGAGACGGACAATATCAGCAGCCGCTTGTCATTTTTCCGCGATTCGCTTCAGGCATTTGACGGTCTAAGGCTCCAAATACGTGTGTGCGGTACAAGTTGATCCTCCTTCATTTGCTGTGCGCTCTTTTTTACCCCGTTTTCGTCGACGTATTAACTGCAACACCAATTTGCTCCATGTAATATCCGCAGATCGCGGCATCATTTCCTTACAGTGCATCTACAATCAAGCTAAATAAAACAAACTCTCTAGTGTTTTTTTTCTGTGACGGCGTCAGAAGCACGATGTGAATATAAGACCCGCGGAGGTGGATCGAGGGCTCCGGGTTAATATCGACCAGTTTTTTTTTTTTTTAACTGTGCACGAGTGTTCTAGCACGTGAAGTAGCCCGATGCTGTCGAGTCATTTTGTGTAATTCGCCAGCGTCTGTACTCCAGGATCCTACAAAAATAATTATGTAGATTAATAAATATGTCAACATTTCAGCACTTCCTTGTTGATGGAAAATTATTCGACCTCGGAACGAAACTGCCTAGGTGGATTCGCGTTAACTTATATTATCGCCACAGTTGTGGGTCTCGCTTTTCGTCCACGAATGCGCTCCTCCCACTCAGCTTTTCACAGCAGACTCCGCCGCCTCATGCGACTTCTGACAAGCGGTCAACGAGGGCATTTTTCGCCTTTCTGGCCTGCTACGAAAATCATTAACTTCCGAACCTTCGAGTGTAAAGCAAAGCAACGCTGCCGAGTGACCCAACTAAATGGCGCCAGTTGATCACTCCCGCCACTAGTGAAATAGTACCGCTCATGATTGATATGTGGGTTTAACATCCCAAAACCACCATATGGTTACGAGAGACGCCGTAGTGGAGGGCTCCGGAAATTTCGACCACCTGGGGTTCTTCAACGTGCTCCCAAATCTGAGCACACGGGCCTACATTTCCGCCTCCGTTGAAAATGCAGTCGCCGCAGCCGAGATTCGATCCCGCGACCTCCGAATCAGCAGCCGAGTACCTTAGCCACTATACAGACCAACGCGGCGTGGTTACCGCTCATGTAGGCTACTCGGCAATGTTCTCCGAAGGCGAGGTCAAGGGCAAACCGGCTCACGGCTTTACTACAGAGTGCGCGACCATTGGTGCAGGCTTGTGTGACTCAGCCTTTTAAGGGGGAAATGGCGCGATCTTCCAAGGTTGTACACGACTATAAAAGAAGGCAAAGAGACAGAGGTGAACACCACAAAAGAATATATTTATTCCATTTGTCAAAGAAACACAACTCGTTAAACGGACAAAGGCGACCGCCAGACATATGTACACACAAAGAACACACACACAAAAAAAAAAAAACGCGCGAAATGAACAGCGGGGGCATAAGCTTCTAGAACAAGCTTGCGACCAGCGGCAGCTATTCGCTTCTCGGAAGCCAGCAGCTATGGGTATGTTCAACCCCAAAACACGTATCGCACTCGAATAAGCAAACCGACGGCCATGCACTCGCGCCCGAATGGTTCACACACGCGTAATACATTCTCGAAACGTTCGTTGCACTGCGCTGCGTTTTATCACACCTTACGGAAACAGCAAAGCCATAGTTTTGTTCTTTATTAAGAATTATGCCTATAGCACGGCAACATTGTCACAGCTGCTATATCATCCAATAAGACTGGTAACCGCGAAGCTACTTTCTTAATGTCATCACCTTTCTAGATGTCCTGCGCCAGCAATAAACGGACGCCAATCGATGGATGCCTTCAAACCTGACGGGTTTGAATACAAGATAAAAATTTTTGAACCTAAAGAGACGTTACCAGTCCCACAGCGTGTACAAATGAGCTCTGCTTTCTATTAATTGAATCATATAGCTTGCTGCAAGTTTCATGCAACGATGCAGGAACAGAACGGTATAAACAAAGGGTACAAACTGAAGAGATTACTACAACTGTCGGGAAGAAGGCGGGTTGAAACAGTTCTTCGCAACCCCCCTCAACCTAGGTGAATATATGGGGCAGATTTTGTGCCCGTGCGCGGCCGTTGTGCTCTCTTGTGTATTCCACAAGGTGGCTCTACCTTTCAAAACGAAGCGAGACTATCCGACACACAGCACGACACTGGCCAGACGATGAATGTGCAGATGAACAAATACACGGCATTTGCGAAGATAATGCCAAAAAAGGATGAGTACGAGATAAAAAAAAAAGGAAAACGGAAAAAGGTCCGCTAGAGCGACGTGAAACATCACAGAAGTTTCGGTGAAGGCGTGGACCACAGAACAAGCGGTCGTGAAACGTTTTGAGGCGCCGTGTTAAACAAAACACACGCGTCTTGCACTAGCAGTATTCTAGGCCGTTTCCGCAGATGCTTAATCGATGCCCAGGCAATGCCATTAGTATGACGTATGCATAGTTCGAGTCTACTTGTGGGACAGAAGTAGCATGTTTCTATAACGTGCTGTGCTTTGACCACAGTCCTCGTGTCTCCAAAAACGCTTGAATCTCAACGAGGGCTCTGTTGACCTACGTTGCCGGATATGACGTTCAGCACACGCTTGCGCTAAGCTTAAGCTTTCAAAGAAATCCGGCACAAAGGAAAAAAAAATCACAAATGCACAGGAAACATACATGTGATTCGCCGACGCAGCGCTTACACTCATAGCCACGTATCATTCCAGAGCATTTTTTTTTCTTTGTTAATGTCCTCCACCAGCTATGCGAGATCTGCGTGGCTTTGACATTCCTCCTTCTCCCATTCAAACAAATGACGAAATCGATCTACTGTACCAACTGTGGTGACTACTGCAACGAAACTTAGGTGACAAATCTTCTGTGTGTTTATAATAACGCGGGTCACTTTGTATGCTAAGAGCATTGGGTGTCGTCTGTCGAAACGGAGGAGGGGTGGTGACTGATGGTGGGCAATAATGAGAACTAAACAACACTGGGGCGCACTTAAAGTAGGTACATTGGTGACGCAAAGAAAATGACTGAACTGGAAATCATCAAGTAACGGGAAAGTGAAGTGGACTGGCGGGTGGTCTGCCTCTTTCTTCGCTCCTCTCTCGTTACTCCATAATGACGTCGACGCTGACGTCAGGGAACGGGGTCTTCCAGTAGTTGAAGGCGTTGAACGCCGGGTTGTCATCATCAGAGGCCGGCGGGCTGGCCAGCTCCATGGCGGCGTCGGACAGGCAGCGGTGGTCCGGTCATCAGCACCGTGGAGAGGTCCAGCTTGTCGCAGCCACCGCCCGGTTCGACCAGGGGCGGTGCCTGAGCGGTCATTGGAGACGTAGCGGGAGGCGATTGCGCCAGTGCGGCATTCACAGCGGGTCCACCGCTAGCAGCCGCCGCCATTCTTGTGCTGCTTGTTGTGCTTGGAATCCTGCGGAGATAGAGAAGAGACGCGGTGCAAAACAAAGTCAACACCGAAACCTTTTCTCTTTTTCTTTTCTTTTCGAGGTTGTATACTCGACATACGAAACAGATGCGTTATACCCATCGCCGTTCAATTCAGCGCTGCAGCTAAAGGGACCCTGAAACACATTTTTTAAGTAACCATGGAACGGATTCACTAAAGTAGCTTATTGCTCATGAATTCAACACGAAAACCGCAAAATTTTAAGAATCCGTCCAGCATGAGCGGAGTTGCAAAGATTTATCGCGCGCTGCAATCGCTTTCTTTCTTCTCTCGTCCCAACGAAAGCGCTCGAAGCTAAGGAGGGAGGGAAGGCAGGGGCAAAGAAAATATGTCACGTGCACCTTGTGAACTTGAGCATATTTTTCTTTTTTTCTTCGAATACGCGGCTTTTTCTGTGTGATTGCGCGCGCAAGCATGGATAAGTGGCGGCCTCTCGCGACGATCCGTGTAACGACCGGGCGCGCCATGCTCAAATCAGCCAATGTCTGATAGATGGCCTATTACGAGTGATTTTTGAGCTTGCTCCCGGATCCTTCGTCATTTGTCGAGAGAAGAGAAAGCCATTTTTAGATCTCTATAATATTTTTTTTTGTGAATTCCAGGCTGCGTGCTGCGCTATAATATTTGGCTCGCGTGTTTTTGGGAGCTTCTACAACCGATCAACAGCGTTTTCCGACTATGCTCAAAAAGTGTTGCAGGGCCCCTTTAAGTTCACAGACAATGGATAAAGTAAGACATCGACGCAGAGGATAACGGCACAAGGTTGAGTCAATCACGCAAATCAATATATTATTTCGGAGGGTGTTATTTGCAGTTTTTGACTATAAGACCCGCGTCTGAATACTTTCCTGCTTCTCATTTTAATGTACACTAGATGCATGTCACTGCATGTCAATCAATCAATCACTCAATCAATCAGTTTGTTAATCATAATAAAACTCAAGTGCATCATATTTGTACAGCAGAGACCCCAAAACTGAAAGTGAGCTATGCAAGAGTTGTTTTTTTTTTCTTCACCTAAAATGATGACAAAATAGGATAGGTTGGTGCCATTATAGTGGCACCGACTAATCCTCATGTTATAAGAAAAATAATAAGGGCTAAACTCTTGAGCTAAGTTGAGGGTGTTCCGACATAAAGCGCTCACGACCCTTTTGAGTAGGAAGCGCTGTCCTACAACAGATATTGTTATTAATATCCATTGAACAATATCTTATATATATAGGTGTTTACATGAAAAAAAAAAGCAAAATGTTATAAAATACACAAAAGGCAACTAAACTACAGACAACGTAAAAAGGAAACAGGAATTCTCCAGAAAACGTCAAAGGATCAATATGGTTGATTGGGCGAGTTTGTGACTCGTGATGGTATTCGCTTGTTTTGAAACCATCACTGATACAAGGAACCAGCATTTTTGTGCATTGATTGACTGCACAGGATAAGCAAGTTCGTAAAACAGCGAATGAATGACGATGGAGTTAAGGCTTTAGCAAGTGTACTTTGCAAAGTCTGAGTGCATAATTTGTAAATGAAAATTTTCTACTTATGCTCTGGTCGGCTCTTTATAGGGTCTCGGAATGGTTCAGGGGTCCTTTAACTGAACACAGTCGTGCATCAAATGTATAAGCTTAGTGAACACAACAGCACAGTCAACTACTACAGCGAGCACAACTAGGCGTAAAAAGAATACGGTTAAAGATTTGGACAAGCTGCAGGAATGAAACGATAAGCATCCATGCGCGGAAAGGCACTGCACACACAGATTAAAAGTACAGAGTGGTGGTTCAAGTGCTACTGACTAAAGTGCTTCTAGCCGCCCAATTCTTAACCAATCCATTTGATTGGTTAATCCATTTGATTTTCATCAACCTTGCATAGATCAGACAGATTACGATAGTGGAAGGAAATGAAGGTTGAGGTTACTTTTTTTGTGAATTTGAAAGTATGCGTGGCTATTAGGGACTGCATTAACGAAACCAATCAGTTGATAAACTAATCAGTATTCTTACCCTTATGTTCTTGTCCTGTTATTCTAGTCATCCTCCTTTGTACACGAATAAAAAATGTAGGCACTGCTTTATTTTATTACTTTTACAAAAAAGAAAAGGGAGACAGAACTTTGTTTTTGTTTTTCTAGATACATACATTAGGTCAAAGAATATAGTTTTCTATGTAACCTGTAATCTTTCCATTATATAGTCCCCCTGATTTTAAAACTTCATAATATACTTTTTGAAGCCAGTCAATTCTTGGATAATTCCCCACAATGAGTGCAAGCCAGAGCTTACGTATATAAGACGGAACTCTTTATTTGGCCGAACTTGTGGCCGGGAAACGGACAGAGCTTTGGTCACCGATACCTTGAGCGGCGGCAAGGTGTGTCAGCACTATATATCTGGCATCGAACACTCCAGCGTTATCGCTGCAGTGGCTGCGTTAATTCGATAATAAACTCGGCTGTTCGCAGAGGCCTATTCGATGAACCTAAAATAATCTGGAACACTCTCAGACATTCTAGCACAATACAAGGTAGTATCGACACGTGCAATAGGCCGGTAAAAAAAGATTAAATGTGAGAAGGCTGTGCGGCATTATATACATTGGTGAAGGGGAGATCATCATATCTGTGGTTTTACGTACCAAAACCACCATATGATGATGAGAGACGCCGTAGCGGAGGGTTCCCGAAATTTTGACCACCATTTAAAGGGGCCCTGCAACACTATTTGAGCATGTATTTTCCATCGGTTCATCATCGGGCCCTGGGCCGATATCGTTGCGCACATGGAAACACCTAAATCGATGCTGTTATAATTTTAATTCACGGGGCAAACTACCTTGATTTCAGACTACGACACACATCGGCTATTTTTGTTATGGGAAGTGACGTCAATTCATGTGACGTGACGACAAACACCGCTCGCTTTTGATTTGCTTGACGCGAGAAGTAGCGCGCAATATTCTTATCGGGGTAGCTAGGCCATACGAGTGAATGCTAAAAACAGCAAAACCCTTTTTTTAATAGTTTCTCAGAAAGAAAGCATTCCTATTTCTAAGGGATGTATTTTTAGAATAACGAACACAACACTTAGCCTGCGAACGAGGCTACAATACGTTAGCACTGGAAAGTGGAAATGCATGCCGCGTGTTTAGCGAGCCAAAAATGTGACAGGGGGTGAGCGCCGGCGTTGTAGAACGTGTCTTGTATGCAAACCAAGAAGTGACCCTGCACAAAGCGAATGTGTGTATCTTACACAGTGTGACCGTAGGAGCGGCCGCTACCTGACACACGTGGTTCGTAGTAGGCATGCTAACGACGGCGTCAAAAAGAGCGGTAGCGAGGTATTGTGTGAAGGCCACAATGAGGCGACATGTGCGGAATGTCTGAATGAGACGCATGCTGTGATTGGAAGCGGTCTTTGAGGTCAGCAGGCGAGTGAAATGCTATAGAAAACCCTTCTCATTGTGGTCTGCTCAATTTTTAACTTTGAGGACTCATAACTTCACTTTCCGTCCACAAATTTCCACCATTCTTGTTGCATTCATCTCAGTAATCATCGCCACACGCGTTCGGTGCTAAATAAGACTGTCCCACAAGTGTCGCAGGGCCCCTTTAACGGGCACTGACATCGCACAGTATACGAGCCTCTACCCTTGCGCCTCCAACGAAATGCGACCGCTGCGGCGGGAATCGAACCCGCGACGTCTGGGTCAGTTGCCGAGCCCAATAGCCACTGTTCCATTGAGGCGGACTGTGGAAGGGGAGGAAAAGACGGAATATCTGGCAGAAAATACTGGGGCTGATAGAAGGCCTGGGGCTGATAGAAGGCCAAAGTTAAAAAAAAATAATGATGTGCCAAGATCTTGTTTTATAGGGGTATGCAAATACTTTATTTCAGAGAATCTAATCGAATTACTTTCATCAGTAATGAAACCTCACTGAAGACAGCCCGTCGGGGTGGTCTAGTGTTATGTTATGGTGCTCGACAGCTAACCATTAAGGTCGCGGAATCAAATCCCGGCCGCACTTTCAATGGAGGCGTATGCGCTAGAGGGCAGAGTGGTACACAGAATTATGGATGCGTTAAAGAAGACCAGACGGCCGGAATTTCCGGAACCATCCACAATAGCATCCCTCATAACCGTATTCCAGTTTCGGGACGTAAAATCCCGACGAAAAAGAAAATCCATTTTCAGATTTTACCATCACCTGATAAAAAGTTTATCTTTCAGAAAATTGACCCCCACTTGGGTAAATCGTACCTTCAAACATAATTTTCGGTCCATTTTCTTTGACACGTTGACAGGAATGTGGGTCCCCCACATCATCCTTGCATTTTTTCTCAAAAAAAATTTTTTGGAGGTTCGTGTACTTTTTGTTTTCTGAAACTAAGTATGAGCAAACAAAAATTATCACACGTGTTAATTATTGGTGCTTACACAGCTGCAGCTAAAACTAATTATGGGTCCACAATACCAGTCGTCACAGAAAAAAAAGGCGTCCTCTGTTTTTTTTTGTTTTTTTAGGAGCACTAGATGTCTCGTGACAGCTGCCACTTCCGATTGTTTATATGCTTCACTGCACCGCATAATTGCATTGCGGCAGAGCTGCCTTGTTTCCCCTAGTCCTCTAGATGGCTGTGAAAGCTTTTGTAGCAATTTTCTACGAGACATAAACTCGACGAGCTTACTTTTATAGCCTGGCCCATCTAAAATATAAACAAGGCTAGAAAGAGGCCTAATGCGGAGGAAGACCGCACCTGTTATTCACGAGATGTTCAGATGGAATTGGTGTCACTTTAGTTAGACCATTCTTTACCTATTTCACGCGACGTGTTGTGTTTATTATGACATCTCCCCTTTCCCCCTCCACCTTTTCTCCCAATCGCGGCACGGTGTACACCTCGGCCCCTCAGCGTACTTCATCGGATCCACAAAGGAAGGAACACTGTCAGACGCCCCGGGGCACTGGCAACAAAACCATGACCTACTACACTCCTGACCTGTTCAGATAGCGGGGTTCCTATGGGAGCGCGTGTCCCCGCTCTCGTTCAATCGCTCGCCGTAGGTGGCGCTACCTATAACCTGTTCGTCTGCTTCTTTACGGTTGTTTTGTAGGCGCTGGTATAAGAATGCCTGCTTTCTGTGGTGAACTGTCGGCATATATGTGACTATTTCTTCCCATACATTGCTGGTCAAGTAAGCTGTTCAGTGCGCTTAAGAATTTATAGCACACTGGTTGACAAACGTGGAAACCCGTGGATTTACATGATTTTGGACAGCCTATGCGTTGTCGCGTGCATTTTATTGCAAAAAAAATTCTGAATGTCTTTTAGTATTATTATTTCTGGATATTTCTAAATTGTGGATCATAAATTCGCACTACGAGTGCTTTGTTGGTTAAAATTTGACTACAAAGAGTGAAGGTGACGTCAGCGAACAGGTGCTGCCTAGCGCCACGCCGCTCGTAGGTGACGGCCCTAGCGGCAGAAGGTATGAACTAGAACGTGGGCGCTGGAAGAGGTGCTCTCTGGGCAGGTCAGGAGTGTAGTAGGTCATGAACAAAACTCGCGAACAGTAGCGAGCAGGAGAGATTAAACGAAGGGCGAATTTTTGGCAAGTACACAGTATAGAAACACGGGCCAGCGCCAAGGCTCTCCAAAAAATTAAATAAAAAACAAAAATAGAGGCAGTTTGCAGGGTAAGAAAATTAAAAAAAAATGTTTACTGGGCCTGGTTTGTCAGTAAGGTCGGAAAGCAGAGAGGGTAACTAAAGTTACGGTTCTAGATCGCGATTCAAGTCTGATCGATCGACAACACGCACGGGCTAACTGTGAAGAGCCTGGGTTCCTAAAAAAAGTGGGAGGAACGGTTACGTAACGGGCAGCATCATGCCGGCGCTGCAAATTAATTTCCTCATTTTTTCACAAGCCACACTCTTAACAACGCCTGCAAACGACAGCTCACAGGTTCTCTTCTAAGGCAACGAATGCCACATGTAAATTCATGACGGCGCCAAGCACCATCCACTCATTCACAAATGAGCTTAGTCACCGCTTTCTCTTCGGCCGCTTACATATCGACCCGTCTCCGTCGCTTTCGACGCATAACATCCCACGCGGGCGCATCCGCAGGCTTTTGTCCGCATCGCACCTCCTTCGGGAACCGACCGCTATTTGCCGCAGCCTGCCGCTCAGGTTGTACGACTTTTCGCTTTCAATCTATTGTTCCTCAACACTACAAAAGCGACCATTCCGGCACGAAGCGGTCGCCAAGATCTTAAACTGCCGCGACAAGCTTCGCGCAGTCGGATTGGTGACAGCGGTGGGAGCGTCCACAGCAAACGTAACTTCCTCTTCGTCCACTGCTCGTATTGACAAACAACAGGCGCTTTTATCCAGGCATAAGGCGTGTAATGATGTGAAGCCTACCTTACCGAAGGTCGGTTCTTTCGGTGTCTCCTGGATTTCCCAGAGGAAGGCATGGCTGTCGTCGAGCCGCGGTCTCTTCACTGGCGGCGGCGAACCCAGCGTTCGATCGAGACCGCAGTCGAGCGAGCGCTTACGGCGCAAAAGCGGCGCTGCTGACGCTGCCTCCGGGTCGTGCAGACGACGCAGTAACTTGCGCCGCCGCCGCTGGCCGGCAAAACATGGACTCCTCGGTCGCTTCATCGACGACGTCGTTCGTGTCTCTCATCGAATACAAAATATCGAACCAACCGTGACGCTGCCAGCGACGAACAGTGTCCTGGCTGTCGAAAGCGTGCAGCTGCGCGGCACAGATGGAAAACTCGAGAAAGTTCGCGCGAGCGAGGAATCGTGACCGGCGTACGGAGACAAAGAAATTGCGGCGCGTGCGCGCCTCCAGAAACGTTAACGTGCGCTTACGTATCTCGTGATAGGCCGTCCAGCACGTCAAGGTAATCACGCATCACTTCAGTAAGTGACAGCGCGGTACAAAACTAACGTAACAAGTGGGTCGCAACTTTGCACTCATACACACCATAGAACGCACACGCACGGAATCGTTGGTCACGATGCCAGCGCCGTCTCGTGTTCCCACATGATCACAAATCTGTATCAAGTGCGCTATGAGCAAGTATGTGCCGTCTGCAAAATAAAACAACTGAGCGCGTGCTTTAGCATAGTTATTTTTACATGCATAAGCATAACGTGACGCTTTAATTTACATAAGTCAAGATTTGTTTTGCAGCGCCGCAGTCCGCTAACGACCTGAAACCGGAAGCTGAACACATTGGAGGCACGAGTGTCATCATGGCTGACGAAGAGTCGCCGAAGCAGATAAGCTTGGTGGTGAAAACAGCGAAAGAGAAGAAAGTAGTGAAGGTTTCTGAGTCGGCTTCGGTCAAAGAGGTAAGTTGGACGCCAATCTCGCTGTAGTCACAGCGTTCAAACTCTTACGAGTGCTACTTAAACGCCCAACAGCCAAGTCTACGTCACGTAGCGGATTGTGTACCGATAGGCCTAGGTTTTCGGACAGAGCCGCCAGGAAAAGACGTGTTTTGAACGTCAAAATCGGCCGGACAGCACCGTAATACTTGTCCACCGAAGCTGCGATCGTTTGTATTGTGTAGTTTGAGTTTGGAGTGCGTTTTTGGGGGGCGCGATGTGAAGAGTTCCTGGAAAGCTGCGCGATCAGAATCGGAGCGATTTCGGCCCTTCCCCCCCGCCGCCCCCAGCGCTCTTAGCGGAAAACGCTCAGATTCTGACAGTTGTTGGACTTAGAAGCGTCGTCAACGCTATGATATGTCGGTGCTGGCTGCGAGCCTTTGTCTATGGGGCTCGGTAACTCCATAGCGCAGCTAGGATTTGATTGTAATCGTCAGTTTCCTGTTACGGCCGTCTCTGGAATTCTCACCGAAGGACAGTGTGCGGCTGAACGGGCGAGAGAGTTTGGAGGACACGCTGCTTACGTCTGAAGGAAGAGGAAAAAAAATGTGTGCGATTGCGAACGATATCATTTTTCGCTACTTTCTTACGGGGTGCCGACGAAAGTGTTCTAAATTTCCGCCGCGCGGAGCTCTCTTGTTAGCGGAGCTGGCAATGACGCTGATCGCGCATAAATTCCTTACTCGATCAACCGAGTCATAACTTGTTCGTTTTTTGCGCTGTCTGTGAAGCCGCGTAAACCGATCATTATTTTTCATATTGCCCATTGAAAGGCAAAAAGAAAATCGTGCATCCGTTTGAGCTTTTCTTTTCACTTATTTTTATTCCGCCTGAAGAAAGCTCCTGCGGATCATAATACACGTCACCTTACGCATACACACTCCGCGCAGCCGTTTGCCATTGTCAATAGTTTCGTTGTAGTGAGTGACCAATCATTTCGCTCTGGTTTTACGGAATGTGTGTGTAGTCTGCTGCATTTTATTCGCGTCCGTCTTACGGTAGCACTTGCAACTGTTATCCTCACGGGGTGTGTGTGTCAAGTAGCTTTTATCAGGAGCACCCATTGCGTTGTAGGCTATTATGTGACCTGTGACAGTGCCGCCGATGTGTTGCTTCTCACGTTACCTCCCCACCAGCTTGTTTACTCCAGCTTCTTTAGTCTTTTCAAGTTTGTGAGATCGTTGCAGAGATTTGTAAGATGTGTATTTGCACCTCCTGCAAAGAAAATTTGTTTTTATAAGGTTATATCTCAGCCGTGTTTGCTTTCTTGTGTGCCACATTCAAAACTGCATGCAGTAAGTAGGAAAGTTTCATTTATATTTCTTCAAATAGTGACGTTTCTATGTTTTGCTAAAGATGAATGTCGTCCCATGCCCAAGCATCTGGTGATTTTTTGCACAACCTGCATTTTCCTTAATCTATTGCAATGTCATTCTGCATAAGCTCCAGCATTCTATAGAGGTCTTATGGTGAATATAATAGTGTAGATCACAGGAAATAAGTAAAGCATAATGCCTGACCCTAATGGAATTTCATTAAACAGTCCATGTGCAATCTACACATCGTTAAAGAAAACATGAAAATGCCAGCTGCCAATGGCCGACCAGCCTTTAGTTTTTTTTTTTCTTTTTCCTGCATGCTGTTCATGATAAAGTGCATTGATCAATCAGGGAAGTCGGCAGCTGTTCATGACGGCAGCCTACACACAAGCTTTCAGTGCAAATCGAAACACGAGCATGTTGGAAATGGTGATCAAAATGCTTATTTTGTGTAGTCTTGAGCAAGTACGACATGCAGTGGTTGTGTAGTCAGTTTTGCAGTAGTGCCAAGTGTGGCAGTTAGAGCCTCGATTGAGGCACCGTTACAAATGCAGTGAACCTGAAACTGGACTGATTTGGAGCACTTTCATGGGGATTTGCATACTAGTTTATTGCTTGTAGTACTTAATTAGGATGTGATAATGGTGGCTAAGGGTGCCTAGATTATTGAGGATGTTGGCGAGCACAAGCTAATCGCAATCAAATGCTATCTTGTGCGGCCCAGTGCTGGCTAATGATGCGATAGGTGATGTCGACAGAGAATAATAGCGGTGTGTCGCTTTTCTCATTTACTCTCCGTTCATTCATTAGCTACCGTTCTTTTTCATCTATCCTGCAGCTGAAGGAGCAGGTGGCCAAGGAATTCAGTGCTCCCCTGGAGCAGCTTTGCCTCATATTTGCTGGGAAAATTCTGAAGGACAATGAAACCATCTCCACGCACAGTGAGTGATTTCGTGCAGCATTTCCTTGAATACCAGAGTATGCAGGCCTGCCAACGCTCCAGATCTGCCCAGTAGACTCCCTGTTAACGGCTTCAAGCTAATTACGACAAAAACAAAGAGAGTGGGAAGCAAACTGTAGTAGAAGGAAAAACAGTGATTAAAAAAGTGTGAAACATATTATTTTTATCACACACTTTTTTAAAAACAATAGAACATTCACGCAGCTTGAAATATTCACTGGCCCCTGCTGTTTCCTGTCGTTTACTGGGGCTGTCCTCCTTTCACCAGAATCACACAGACACGTGCACACCCCAACTGCCGGTACTGGTGGACGCGCGCGCCTCCTGGTTTACTTCCCAGTTCAGAGAGGGCACGGTAGAGAGGCTGGAACACTGCTATGCACCTGGTCAATGAAGGCTCCCTGGGCACCTCCGTAAAGCCCCTGTAGGCTGTTGTTAACGTGCATGGTCCCCTCAAAAATGCACTGCCAAGGCTGCAATGTCGGCTTTTGTACTCCCTTGCAAGAGCTCAGAAAGGCGGTGATCCTTCTCTCTGTTCAGAACGTCTATAGTAGCAGTATTTAGTCGGGATGCAGGCCCACTACAACATGGACAGTTTTGTTGACCAGTCACTGGCATCACCTGAAACATTTTTTCAAGTCATTGTCCCGCAGCTCATCTGTTACCATCGTGTGACTGCTGTGTGTACACCTCTGTGCAGACATAAAGGATGGCCTGACTGTTCATCTCGTGATTAGGTCTCCGGCCTCGGCAAGGGTGAGTGTTGTTCGTCAGACGCTTTATTTTCCTTCTATGGGTTGTGCCTGCAAGCTTGTTTTGCAGTGACTGGTTAGATCAAATGAAAGTTAAAATATTGTTATTGTTCTTTACTCAGTACAGTGAAGCTTTGGTCCAGTTGGTTTTGCATAACAAAGTGTGAACAGCGCGATATTCTACACGGGGACACAAAAGAAAAGACAGACAAGTGCTGTATCTGTGTCCCTTCTTTTGTGTCCCCATGTACAATATCCCGCTGTTTGCACTTCGTTATGTTCATTACTCCATCACTGTCGTAGTTTTGAGGCCTGTTAGAAATGCCTCCTCGGACTGTCAGAGGGTGGTGCCCTTACGTGGTGGAAATGCTGCATGTGGGAAGTCCCTACTCGGCAGCACTGAGAAGTGGAAGCATTGCTGATGGCCCACCTCTCAAAGTGGCAAAGCAGAATAGTGGGTGGTTTATGCAAGAGCGATTGTACATTTCGTTTTCAATCGGCATGTTAACCATTTCTGCTACTTTCTGTAGTAAAACACTGCAAAGACGGTTCATTGCTGCGCAGTCCCCTCTTGGGCTTCTCGGGCCTTGTTTGCCTAAAAGTGGTGCCTGAACTGTGGCGTCAGTGGCATGTTTCCGGCTCTTCAATCGCTTCCACTTTTATTGACTGGAGAGAACTGTGGCTTCGGCTTATGTTTGCACAGGACATGGTGCACACCTTCGCCTATGTCATGGCTCGGTCCTCTCTGTTCTTATAGTGCCGAAACACAAGCCAAACAATCTTATTCAGAATGAAGCCACGTTTTTTCATGTAACGACACAGCGGCATTGCTGGTGATTTCCGTATGCTTGCGAACTGCAGTTCGGGAGTCGCTTTGTGTCAGCCAGGAGAACTTGGCCATTGCGATATTTCTGCGAGAATGCGATTCAAATCTATATGCACAAGTGCCCGATTGCAATCATTCCACAAACAATGGCATTACTCGTCACCACCACTGTAAGCATAGCATATCAGGGCTCTTTCACTCTCATGTGAACACACCACTATTTTTATACTCTCAACATTGAAAGATTCAGCTGCACATTGTGCTGTAAATATTATCTCTAGTTAATGACAGAAATGTTTGACAGAAAATGTGTGTTGCATTTTAATATTAAACAAAGACCTAGAAAGCCTATGGAAGACCGCACGATATGGTGTCCTTGTTTCGTGTTTTGGTGTGTAGGATGCCGCACAACTGTGGAAATTCCGACTTGGATTTCTGACATGCATTCATGGGGCAAACAGAATGTGAACAGGGAGTTGTTCAGCCCTGTAGATTCTGCAAGCGACAGTTTGGGAAAATGATCTCGGACCACCGATGGCATTGTCGCCAGAGATTGTTTACAGGCTTTGCATTATCGCCGCCGCGGTGGTCTAGCGGCTGAGGCACTCGGCTGCTGACCCGCAGGTCACGGGATCGAATCCCGGCTGCGGCGGCTGCATTTTCGATGGAGGTGAAAATGCTGTAGGCCCATGTGCCCAGGTGGTCGAAGTTTCCGGAGCCCTCCACTATGGCGTCTCATAAATCAAATGGTGGTTTTGGGACGTTAAACCCCGTATATCCATCAATCAATCAATCAGGCTTTGCATTAACCTTGCATAACGAAATCGTGCTGATCTTAAGCGTGATCGTGTAACAAAAATGAATGATGAGTTTAGTTAACTTCTACTTTTTATTTTGCTTGTTTCGGCAGTATTCGGGAGTAAGTCTCTACATCAATTTTTTTTTAGTTAAATACGGGTATAGGCAACTGCTGGAGATAACACCAGCATGTTGTGGCGAATCTGGTCTATAAACATCATGCTGGCTCTTGATCCTAACGTGTTCGTGTTTGAAATTACACCCAATATGGCTCCACCCCAGGCTTTGCATTAACCTTGCATAACGAAATCGTGCTGATCTTAAGCGTGATCGTGTAACAAAAATGAATGATGAGTTTTAGTTAACTTCTACTTTTTATTTTGCTTGTTTCGGCAGTATTCGGCAGTTAAGTCTCTACATCAATTTTTTAGTTAAATTACGGGTATATGCAACTGCTGGAGATAACCACATCATGTTGTGGCGAATCTGGTCTTTAAACATCATGCTGGCTCTGATCTACGTGTTCGTGTTGAAATTACACCAATATGGCTCCAACTGGCGTCTCATAAATCAAATGGTGGTTTTGGGACGTTAAACCCCGTATATCCATCAATCAATCAATCAGGCTTTGCATTAACCTTGCATAACGAAATCGTGCTGATCTTAAGCGTGATCGTGTAACAAAAATGAATGATGAGTTTTAGTTAACTTCTACTTTTTATTTTGCTTGTTTCGGCAGTATTCGGCAGTTAAGTCTCTACATCAATTTTTTAGTTAAATTACGGGTATATGCAACTGCTGGAGATAACCACATCATGTTGTGGCGAATCTGGTCTTTAAACATCATGCTGGCTCTGATCTACGTGTTCGTGTTGAAATTACACCAATATGGCTCCAACTGAAGACAGTGGAAATGAAAGTGTGTGTGTTACTTAGCCCTAAATTGTCCTGTTTCAATCCATGAGTACCGCACATACACATGCGTGCTAGTCTTCACTCTGCCTTGAAGTGCGACTCCTGCAAAAACGAGAAGGCACAGCATTTTATTTTGACTTTGGCCTGTTTTTACACTATGCAGGGAGTTTTAATTTGTACGCCCATGCACTGCCGAGTGTTCTAGGCACCAGGCTTGCTTATTTACGAAATACCCGTCCATTAAGAGGCCCTTGAATATGCAGTGCTGTCACGACGAAGACCTGTAGGCTTTGCTTTGTGGAGACTCATTCAAATCTTGCGATATTGGGGTGGAAATGGGATGTGCCATGCTAATATTCAAAGATACAATGTGAGGTAATGCCACGCCTCATTCAAATCGTGATGTCTCATGTTTTGTAGTTTAAAGGAGAAGCATTTGGCTACCTTTCCGATATCGAAGTGTGGGTATCTTTTTGTCTCGCCTCTTTTATTTTGTCATCGCAGTACCGCAGGATTGGTTCACATTGTTTTGACTGTATTCTTTCATTTTCTTTGCTTTCTTATATGTGTTTGAGCATTGAAAAGGGATCGTTGTTCCTCTTTCAGGGAGATGATGGGAGAAGACCGGACGAGCCCAGCTCGGTAAGTATCGCTGTCGCAGCTGCCGTCATAAGAGTGGTTTGATAGAAACATGTACCATGAGTAAACATTGAATGCTTTAGAAAGAAGACAACATTGAGTGTGCATTTGAAAAATGGGGTGTTTAATATTCTATACTAGGTAGTTTATTGGTGATGGATGAAACGAGTGTTTCCCATGAGTTTGCGAATATTTCAGCCAGTTTCATGCCACAAAAACTGTTTCAATATCCTTCGTCAGGCATCATGCTTTACTCTTATGTTTTGGCAAAGTTTCTCTAAGGATTTCTTCTTATTCCTCTAGTTCAGAGATGCAGATACTGCACAAGGTTATGCTCATTCACAGCAACAACGGAATTCTACAGCAGCGGTTTAAGATGGCAGTCAGCCATTTCACTTGCCCAAACGCATGTTACTATCGTGTCTGTGCGGTAACACGTTTAGCAGCACCATTATTATCATCATCAATTAGTTTTATAACCTCACCCACTACACCCCCTCAGGTCACATGACCTGTGTGACACCTACTACAACTACTACTACTACTGCTACTACTATTACTACTGCTACTACTACTATGATGACAGTGTTGACAACGACGACGATGGTACAGGGTAGACTAAAACAGCTTCATTATCAAAACAGACAGGTCCAGTAAATTCTCAAGGGCCGTACTTTTGTGTTCAGGATGTGTATGTTGTGTGCAGCAGTAGTCGCCCTTCACATGTGTGGTCTGTGCTGCAGGGTACCCAGCCATCTGGTGTGCCTCCAAACCCGTTTGGTGCTGGTGGATTGGGGGGTCTCCCGGGCCTGTCGGGGCTCAACCTGGGCTCCGGTACCTTTGTGGAGATGCAGCAGCGCATGCAGAGAGAGGTGAGGACCGGCATCGCTATGGCTTTCTCTACTTAACTACTCATGTTTGTTTCAAACTCTGCTCACATTATCATAATTCCTCCCTGCCTTTGCTTGAAGGTAGCTCGAATTGTGTAAGAGACGTATATAAGTAAGGTGCTGGTAGTCGTAAAATTATGACATGCTAAGTCTTTTTCCCACGTTTCTTCTATAGACATACCTACCAACTCTCCCAAATTGTCCGGGAGACCCCTGAATTTGAACCTAATCTCCCGATTGTACGAATGCCGTCTCGAATCCCCCGAAAAGTGACCGCAACAGCAGAACCGTTTTTTATTCAAATCGCGCGAGCACATCGGCCTTTCCTGCTGCGACAGTTGCGGTACTGCGAAGGAGCACTCGCCCCTACTTTTCTAGTTCATTGTAATCATACCGTAGAGTACCACTAAGTATCATATTTACTCGCATAATTTGCGCACCCATAATATTTTGCCAGCTTTGTTAAAGAAAAGAATACTTGGTATATTGTGCGCTCACAGACCAGCCTGAGCCAGCTTGCCGGTGCGCGTACGAAGAGACTTCGAACCTTTCGATGCTTCGGATGGGCGCGTGCCTCGCCGAGCAGACAAGCGCAGTCAAACGGGCTTCTGAAAAGTCTTTTCTTCCAAGGACTTTCCCCGAACTAGGGTCCCTAGAATACCATACTCGAACACTCAAACCTGTTGACGGGTTGCCATAACTGCTCGCACGTTTGCCTCTCCCTATCTCCCCATTTTTCTGTCCTCTCTACCACTGCGAAAATGCAGGCTTGTGTCACGGCACGGACAACTTTCTGCATCGGAGGCGTGCGAGGGCCTGTTGCGCCAACTGTTCACCTCGTCTGCGTTGCAACGCACACTGGGTTGATTTCGGAAGTTTAGGAACCGTAAAAACACATCCGGCCGATGTGTTTTTACGGTTCCCTTGCGATAGGCTACAGTAATTATATATGCGGCGAAATTGAAGCTTGCTGTTGTGAATTTCGACAAAAAAAATGGGAGCCATGCCACCACAAAGCACTTCAAAGCGATGAACTTCAACAAGTGTCGATCGGCGCGATCTGTACGCGAAAAAGCAGAACAGTGCACACTTGCGAATGCAAATTTTTCGCCATTGAAGAAGGCCTTGTCAATCATGGGCAGATGCTTAAATCTTCCGGTATCGCCGTGTCATGTGACCTAGTTTCTCCCAGCATCGTCGCGAAAAGCATCAAGAAATGGGGCAGAAAATGCACTGTACCGCAATAAAACAAATGCATGCTATTTTACTTCTCATTTATGCTAGCAAATGCTGTTGCAGTGTTTGTAGAACAGGCCTCTGTGGTGTATTCAATATGAGGCTGTATGCAGAATGCATGAGCAATTCAGTGCAACTACTAATTTAACCGTTTGTAGGTACTTCAAAATGGTATGCAGAAACAATGTTTTATTGACAAGGCACTGTGGAGTATCGGGTAGTGATGCAAAACTATCGGTAGAAAGATTATTGATGGCATAGGCAGTTCTTTTTTTTAGTCATTGATGACATAGTTTTGCCGGCCCAATCGATAATTCAAGTGCCTGTGGATGTTTGTGGTATCACAGCAGATAACGTTGACGTTATAGTTCACCCAATCCAGCTGAACTGTGCGAAGAAGGATGTCGTTGTGCCGCACTGCGTGATTTCTGCAAGTAGTGGGCAAGTAGTGGCAAAGCCTTGGTATGGGTGGTCAACTCCTCTTTCGAGTCGATTATACTGCCTGGTGGAATGAGGCTGGCTGTGTTTGAGTTTCACGTCAGGAGCAGCGTTAACGTTACAGTCATTAGCAACGTCAGGAATAAGGAAAATGCGTCTGATGTGGCTTGTCCTAGTGATGACATACTAATGGATATGGTGAATAAGTCGCTATCGCCAGAGAAGAGACAAGCGTTATTTCGGATCCTCTCCAACCATGCATCCGTTTTTGATTTCGCACTCAATAGCCGTAGAATTTCTGCACCACCTTCACGCACTCGTCATGTGATTTATACTTGTTCTGCCCATCCCATTCGTCAGAGATCATAATCTCCGTCAGAGCGTAAAGTTATTGCTGAGCAGGGGGAAGAAATGCTGCCCAAGAAAGTTATACAATAGTCGTCTAGCCCCTGGGCAGCACCAGTTATACTTGTAAAAAAAAAGATGGGTCTTGGAGATTCTGTGTAGATTACCGGCGGCTGAACTCGGTTACAAAACAAGACATATATGCGCTGCCCCGCATGGACGACGTTATTGATTGTTTGCACTCTGCTTCGTACTTTTCTTCCATAGACTTAAGATCGGGATATTGGCAAATCCCTATGCACTCCGCCGATAAAGAAAAAATGGCTTTTGTAACTCCAGATGGTTTATTTGAATTTAACGTCGTGCCATTTGGTCTATGTAACACTTTAGCCACGTTTGAGCGCTTTATGGACACAGTTCACCGTCGCTTAAAATGGGAAGTATGTCTTTGCTATCATGATGACATTGTAATCTTTGGCCGCACGTTTGAAGAACACAATCGTCGACTTGATGTTGTTCTCACGTGCCTTGAATTCCAAAAAAGTGCTGTTTTGGTGATCGTGAAACTCTAGTTCTTGGCCATCTCGTAGACAAACACGGCGTTCGCCTGATCCCCACAAAATCACCGCGGTCAGCATTTTCCCTCAACCACGCTCACTACGAGAACTCTGAAGCTTCCTGGCCCTGTGTTTGTATTTCCAGCGCTATGTTCCTAGCTTCGCCGATGTTGCTGAGCCTCTTACTCATCTGCTCAACAAAGACGTACCCTTCAAGTGGATGAAAGAGTGCGAGTCATCATTTTCGCAGCTGAAGCTTCTACTCGCTTCTGGGCCTATTCTTCGTCATTTTGACGCATCAGCCCCAACTGAGGTTCACAGTGACGCAAGCGGAATCTGTATCGGCACAGTATTAGTTCAGCGTTACGGCGCCGCCGAACATGTCATTGCCTACGCGAGCCGCTCTTTGAGTAAAGCTGAGCGCAATTACACTGTTGTACAGCAAGAATGTCTGGCAGTTGTCTTCGCCGTGCAGAAGTTTTGCCCTTACATTTATGGCCGCCAATTCTTCATCGTCACAGAACACCACTCACTTTGTTGGTTGCTGGTCTACGAGATCCAACCGGTTGTCTTGCATGATGGGCGCTCCGTTTGCAAGAATATGACTGATGTTTGCTTCAAAAGTCGCCGTCGTCACGCGGACGCTGACTGCCTATCGCGACTTCCCCTTCCCACGACTGAATGCGACGCTGACAATTTAGACGACTGTCTGGCCGCTCTTGACTCACGTTTTCCAGATTTGGAAGCGTTCCGTACAGAATACGTCAAGACCGCAGTCTGGCTCCTTTTTTCTCATCTGCCGTCGACAAGCCACATCAGAGCCCATTCGTCATGTAGGATAGCATTCTTTACAAGCGAAATTTCGCTGCAAAGGGGGCCCGCCTACTTTTGGTTGTCCCCAAATCATTGCGACCCAACGTGCTGCAAGCTATGCACGACTGTCTGGCCGCTCTTGACTCACGTTTTCCAGATTTGGAAGCGTTCCGTACAGAATACGTCAAGACCGCAGTCTGGCTCCTTTTTTCTCATCTGCCGTCGACAAGCCACATCAGAGCCCATTCGTCATGTAGGATGGCATTCTTTACAAGCGAAATTTCGCTGCAAAGGGGGCCCGCCTACTTTTGGTTGTCCCCAAATCATTGCGACCCAACGTGCTGCAAGCTATGCACGACTGTCTGGCCGCTCTTGACTCACGTTTTCCAGATTTGGAAGCGTTCCGTACAGAATACGTCAAGACCGCAGTCTGGCTCCTTTTTTCTCATCTGCCGTCGACAAGCCACATCAGAGCCCATTCGTCATGTAGGATGGCATTCTTTACAAGCGAAATTTCGCTGCAAAGGGGGCCCGCCTACTTTTGGTTGTCCCCAAATCATTGCGACCCAACGTGCTGCAAGCTATGCACGACGATCCAACATCCGGGCATATGGGGTTCGCCAAGACCTATCACCGCACACTGAAGCGTTTCTACTGGCCCCGCTTGCGTCGGGCTACAGCTAAATACGTGACCAGCTGTGAGCATTGTCAACGATACAAGAGTCCAACAAGTGCGCCGCCAGGATTTCTTCATCCCATACCGCCTCCATGTTTTCCCGTTAAAGTCGTCGGTATTGACTTGATGGGCTTCCTTGTACCATCATTACCGACCGTGGCCGGCAGTTTGTAGCCGACGTCGTGGAAGAGTTGATTCATCGGTCTGCTTCCCAGTTTCATCACGCCACTTCATACCATCCACAGACAAATGCTTTGACTGAGCGTGTCAACAGGACGCTCATTAACATGCTCGCTATGTTTGTTGATTCCAAGCATAAAAACTGGGATGAAGTTTTACATTTATGACCTACGCCTACAACACTGCGCTACAAGAGACCACCGGCTTTAGCCCGTTTTACTTTCTCTTCATCCGTGAGCCGCGTACTACCCTCGACACAAATTCTGCCGTTTTCAGAGCAAGAAAACTCATCCCTTGCAGACACTCTGTCGCGCAGAGGAGGCACTGCGCATCGCGCATCTCCGGACTTTCGCAGCCCAAGACCGTTCAAAGGCTCGCTACAATAAGCGAGATAGGCATGTGTCGTTCAACGAAGGTGATATGGTGTGGCTGTGGACTCCACATCGCGAGAGTGGTTTGTATCAAAAGTTTCTGGCCCGCTATTCAGGTCCCTTCGTCATTTTGTCGCGCCTTAGCGACGTTACGTACGTGATATCACGCCTCACATCTTTTGGCCATCGCTGCAGGAAAACTGACGTCATACATGTCGCCCGGTTGAAGCCATACCACGTGCGACACTAACTCGCCGAGTGGGCGTCCTCTGCAATGGGGGAAATGATACGGGACTTTCGTTGAAGTGGGGGTAGAGGAAAAAGAAGTGAATGTGTTCTGTGCCAGGCCTGACTGCTGCAACGATCTATCATCCCGCCTGTACAATAAACATCTCTCATCCGTAACACTATTGATAGTGTGAGGAAACTGGTAGTACTACTATCAAAAGTATTACTCATAGCGGAATTGTTAGTACCATCGGTGACATTAACGTAGTACTACGTTATTGCCATTACGTTATGCCATTGTTGGCCAGTGGTATTATGAGAACGTTCATGATAGCCTATCAGCAATACTCTGATCGTTCGTTAGAAATACTTTGGCAAAATAAAAATTAATTCTTTAATGAAAATGCTGAATCATTTCCATCCAAGAAACTCATATTAAAAAATGAGTCCCGTCTTGCAATTAAAAAACTTAGTTCCTGACATTTTTATGTTGTGGCCTGAAATTCTAGGGGAGATGCAATTTAAAAAAAAAAAAAAACATTGCATCTGTTGCAATTTTTTGCTTTGCCTGCCTAAAACGATTTCATATTCGTGACTCTTGGTACACGTGATATTTGCCCAGAGGGTTTCGTCTGGGAAAGGTGGAGTTGTTATGTTGTAGTGGCAACGCGTGAACGAAGAAAGAACAAAGTGATTTCTCTTGGAAGCAGCTCGGTGAAGGCGCAGCTACTCTTCGCTATTGATCCTTGAATAAACACACATCATTGTAACAGTATTAACGCATAGCTCTATGGGTCCATTTCTAGTTTTCGCGATTTTGAGCGTTGGAGCTGGAAAATCGTATTACCGTATGTACACGCATAATGATCGCACTTTTTTTTTTAATTGACTCCAACTTCGGGATGCGATCATTAAGCAGGGTAAATTTTCCGTGAAAAAATATTGCGAGCACTGAAAACGCAAAAATGTCGCTAATCGGAATTCTTACGATAGCTATCATGAACATAACTAAAAATAAAAGTAAATTAAGGCTTACCTTTGTAATAAAATGCACGCATTACGCAGGAGCTACATGCATGGCACGCTGCCCTTTTTTATTCCCTCTCTGACCCCCTAACGTTCATACAGACTCCGAAGCGACACTGGCGTCAGTGTCGTCGCCTCACGATTCCCTGTCCGAACTGGCAGTGTCTTCACTGTCCCACAGACGGTCATCTTCCGTTCCGTCGAGCGCATTGGAAATGCATCTTTTTGAAGTTCTTGCTGACCACATTGTCGGAAATAGTACTCCACGCTTCGAGAATCCATGAGCAGAGGGCTTCCAAGGACGGTCTCCTGATTTTTCCACTTGGCGTGAAATCGTGGTCACTCGCCGCCATCCACTCTGCGTACAGCCTTCGACATTGTCCTTGAACGGTTTCTTCAGTGACACGTCCAGAGGCTGTAGCAGCGAAGTTAGACCCCCAGGGATCACTGCGATTTCTGTGCCCCACTCCTTCAGCTCAGCATGGACAATGTTAACGAGATAGCCTCGAAAGCTGTCCAGTACAAGAAGTGAAGGAAGCAGTAGTGCTCCTGCTCTTCGCCCCCAAACAGTCTTGATCCAATTGACCATGAGGTCTGCCGTCATCCACCCTTTTACTTGAGCGTGGATGTGGATGCCATGGGGAAAGTTTCCCTTCGGAATAGTTTTCCGTTTCAGAATAACATATAGTGGCAGCTTCCACCCATCTGCCGTCACTGCGAGCATCACGGTGCATCGCTGCTTCTACGCACCACACGTTTTCACGAGGACGCTTCGAGCACTTTTCTTGTTCACAGTAGTGCTTCGAGGCATGTCGAGCGTCAACGGTGTTTGGTCAGCGTTGCCTATCTGTGACAACAGGAAGCTGTACTTCTGGCATATCCTCATGACGAACCTGTGGAAATGAATGACCTTGTCTTCGTATGTGGATGGAAGTCGCTGGCACAACAACGTCCGCCGCCTCGGCAAAAGTCCATTCCGCCGCATGAAGCGTGTCGTCCAGCCAGAACTGGCGCGGAAGTCCTTTGTGGCCAGCCTCCGTGAAACTGTGTGCGCCTGCGTCTGTATCATGTCTAACGACACTGCACAACCGTCCTTGCGCATTTCCTTCACGTATTCGAGGACTGCCTTTTCATTGTCAGGGAACTTGCCAGATTTGGGTCCGCGGAAAGCCCATCGCGTGCTGTTAGTAGCCATGAGCTTGTCGCGCTGTTTTTTTCCAATATCGGATCCGAGTTTCGGCGACGCCGAAATGTCTGCTGGCAGCGCGATTGCCGTGCTCTAGCGCGTAGTCAAGCACCTTCAGCTTGAACGCGGCAGTAAAGCTCGCATACCGCCCCATGGTGAAATGGCGGTTCAACAGACGATCACAAAGCACACACACACAAAAAAACGTGGTCTCAGGAAAAAACATTGCTGCGGGATGAACACAGATCGACCAACAGGCGGCTGACGGGAGCAAAGCGACCGCATTTTTTTTTTTTCGTCGGATATGGAAGTTGTGAGTATGTCACGCGCATCAAAACAGTTTCTTCCATCTAAATAAGGAATGCTTTCATTTAAATCAGTAAAATTACGGCATTAGTGTAGTGATGCCTGCTTTCAGATTGCAGAAACACTGATAGGTGCGTTCAGCTGCCACAGACATAGAAACACATGGCGGGCATTCAGTGAAAACTGCGGCATTTGCCCTACTGCAATCCTAAATTGCACGTTCCCGCCAACGGTGGGCAAAAATTAAGAATATGTTTGGTGCGTGCAGTTGGCAAGTTTCGTTTGACAGATAATAAAGGCGATGATCATCGGCTAGACTTGGCACACGACATATCGATGCGGCGAGTTCGGGGTGCAATCATTACGCAGGGGGAAAAAAATCAAATTTAGACGACAAAATTTAAGGGGCGATTATTACGCGAGTGCAATCATTACGTGAGTAAATACGGTAAGCGGGAACGTAACAATGAGGTTCTACTGAAATTCACTGATGACTGGAAAACAGTCCGCTTGCTCATGCGAATGTGTTTTCACCAAGTGTGGCTTGCGTGCTTTTACTGTTTGCAGCTTGTAAGCAACCCCGACCTCCTGCGGCAGCTGATGGAAAATCCATTTGTCCAGTCGCTCATGTCAAATCCGGACTACATGAGGCAGCTCATAGTCGGCAACCCTCAGATGCAGCAACTCATGGAGGTGAGCCGTGGGGTATTCACACAACATCCTACATATACAATTTAGTCAGAGTAAAACTCCAGTGATATGATTATGGTTGGATATGAATGTGGTGCAAATTTGTAGTGCATTCCTGCTGAAATGCATAATACATAATAATACATAATAATTTCATACATAATACAAATACATAATAATTTCACAATAATATTATCATTATTAGAAAGCTAATGAAAATTAAGATATCATATTTCAATACAGTAGACTCTCAGTAAACACAAATTCGTTAAGCGGCATGGCTGCTTAAATGGAACAACTTACTCTGATATTATTGGTTTCATACTTGAATGCTGCAACTCACTTCACCTCTCAGTAAACGGAACTCCTGTTAAATGGAACACATTTTCCCAATCCCTCCAGGTTCCGTTAATGAGAGTCTACTGTATTGTGTTGTAGCTTGATTATAAGTCTGATGTCATGAGTTTATTTTACTTTCGCATTCACTGTATATTAGCTCAATGAAATTATAATAGAGAAAGCATTTTTCTTTTAGTGTTAATCTAATAATTACAGTAAAAGCTCAATATGCAGTTGTTTTTATTTGAACTGACACCCTAGTCTCTGTGCAGTCCTCTGTATTTCCTCCAGTAAAAACTCCCGATACTTCATTGATATGCAGGGTTTAACGACCCAAAACCATCCCGATAATTCAAACGCATTGGTTAATTCGGACTGGGAGCCTTTGGTTTTCACCACTTTTCGCTGAAGTCGGCCCAGAGTGATCACAATATGTTCCAAAACCAAACCCAACTGCATTCACTGGTGATGCAAAACTACAAAACAGTGGCATTTCTCAGCAGATTAAAATTTGAACGCAATGCTGGAGTTTTCAGGCAAGCTGCAAACGATGGTCATGGAGTCGCGAATGAAGAAATGCCAGCAAATGCATGTTACTGATTACTTAATTTTGATTTCATTATGCCTGATGAGTAAATTATGAATGCATGTCCTGTGCTTGTTACTTGCTTATCGTTGACTGATTGGTTAATTTTGTTTTCTGTTAGAGCTCCATGAACCTAGTTTACGAAATCACCTGCCACAAACGTTTGGTTGCGCATAATTTGCTATTGCAAGTCCGGACTCTGCTTACGAGATTCCGCTTGCGCAATGAGGCGTGTTGTACATTCATTCTGGCGCCCACCCGCTGTTTCAAGCTCTGCTTAATTAGAACTATTTTATGGTATCCTTCGAGTTCAAACTATCTAGCTGTTATTGTACTAGAGCAGAGAGGTGCGTTAGGTAACTGTGTTGGTAAAAGTCCTTCCTTGCCTGCAGAGAAACCCCGAAATAAACCACCTACTGAACAACCCCGAGATGCTTCGGCAGACGATGGAGATGGTGCGGAACCCGTCAATGCTGCAGGAGCTGATGCGCACCCAGGACCGAGCTATCAGCAACCTTGAGGTACGGCCACTTCCTCATTGTGGCTCATGGTAGATTTCTCACTTGGAAATGAGCTGTGTGCGCTTCTTGCGGGGGCATTTTGCTGAACTAGCGCTATCAATGCTCATGCGGGTCCTTGAAAACCATTGAATTTGATAAGGGAGTTTTCAAGGCCTTCAAAGTGCCGGATTTCTGTAAATCCTTCAACATCGTTGAATTTCTCGTTTTAGTTTATTCAATTAACATTGTTGCATATTTCATGACGCGTTATTTGTGATGCCGTGAGTATAGCAGGTGGCATACGTAATGTGCCCAGTCGCTGTTAAGGGAGAACGCTCAATAAATCCTTCAAAACACTTGAATTTCTCTTTTCATTTCATTCAATTAAACATTGTCGCGCATTTTACAATGCGTTATTTGTGATGCCGTGAATACAGCAAAATCTCGTTAACTCAGATCTCAAGGGACTGGAGAAAATGTTAGTCGAATTCCGAATTATCGAACGGACCATGAAAACAAAAGGAAAGCGTACACGGCACAGACAAACCTTTATTTCTTAAAAAAGTGCGTTATTTTTGCCTGCCTCGCCGTCAGAATTTCCGGCAGAACGATCTTATTTAATCCAATCAGGTGGTGGTGCGCACGTTCACTGTCGAGAGAGCAAACACAGAACCCCTCGAGGACAGCGAGGGCTTCGGCGGCCTCCTGCATGTTGCGGCGACGTCGCGTCGTTTGTCACGTGTTTCAATATCATAACCTATCTTTCAAAATCATTTGCGGGCTGCTGTGGCCACTTAAGGGGGGACGCGGGTCTTAGAATGGTGAAAAATGGCCAAAAAGTCGATTTTGAGAAAATGCGATATTTGAAATTTTTAGACCTATAAGCACGTGTCCTCAAATTGTGAACACTGAATTGGAGCTGTAAATGGATTAAAAATTGATTATGAAGTCTCCACGGGAGCCGCAAAACAACCCACGGCAGGTCAAATTCGTTCAAACTTCCCGCGCGCGCCGCCGGCGAGGCAGTCGGCCGATCGCCGCCATCTTGGGCTTGTTTTGAAGCTGATTCCTTTGTGCGCATTTTGCCACCCTTAAAAAATGGCGTTGCTTAAACAGAACGGCTGCCCTCACCCATTTTCCAGAGCCCCCTTCCGAACTGCTGATTGGCCGGAGCGCGCGCGCACCAGGCGAGCCCCCTGTTCCTCGCTTTCCATTGGCTGATGCGGCCAAAGTTGCCCACGCTTTTTTTTGTATATTGTTCGTCGGCCACCGGTTCCGGTTCGCGCACGTTGTTCGTCTGCTTCCCGCACGTGCCTGCTTGTGCTTCGCGACCGACGCACCGACTTTCCGTCTTTGGCCGGCATGATTGGAGACGCTCGTCTAAAGAAGAAGACGCGCCAAGCGTACAGCAAGAAACGGAGGCGCCAGTGGAACGCCCGCCAAGAGAAAGCAGCCGACAATGTACAGCCGATTTCGCCCGATGCCGCCGAAGCGGCGCATTCCGACGACGGCACGCAGCGGCGGCCGCTTGTGTCCGAAGCGGTGCACTCTCCTGTGCCTTGCAGCAGCACCTCATTGGATTGTGTCGTCGTCGGATCGTCATCTTGCACTTCCAGTAGCATCGTAGACCGCATTGACACGGCGTTTTATTCGGTGGACTAGTTTGCTGAGTGCGCGAGAAACGCAGCGGGCTTGAAGGCATCACTCGCATCGCAGTGCGCGACGGAACGTAAGTTGAGTTACTAGATATTGATCTAGAGGATGGTGGCAAAGAAAACGGGTCAGAACTTGTTATTGTTGATCTGGCGACGATACGCTCGTTATTTGGACTTGTCGCGTGCCCAGAATGCGGTGAAAGAAGCGTCATTATTTCAAAGGCCAAGAAAGAGTACGGGCTGTGTTCGAAGCTCATAGTCACGTGCGGCAGTTGTGACTTTCGCGTAGAGCGTTTTTCGTCCCCACGTAAGCTGACGAGACCGACGCCAAAATAAGGCCGTTTGAAGTTAATATGCGTGCCATGAAGGCCATCAACAGTATCGGCAAGGGGGCAACGGCTCTGTCGGACTTCTTGCCGGGATGAATATTTCGCATCGAGGGCTTCACCACAAGAGTTACCAAAGCCACATGAATATAATGAAAGAAGCCTGCTGTGCGACTGCTGCCGAATGCGAAGCGGCGAGCGTTGCTCGCGTCAAGGAGCTCTATGCGGAGTTCGGCAACGCTCCCGGAAATGTTGACGTCATTTATGACGGCACCTGGCTTACGCGTGGACATAGCTCGCATATATGTGTTGGCTGCATTGTTGAGATGTATAGTGGCCTCGTGATAGACCATATCGTGCTATCAAACTTTTGCCTGGCTTGCACGACAGGACCCAAGGAAGGAGAAGCAGGACATTCTGCCTGACTCATTCAGCATGCCCCTCTGTGCCAGAAGAATGTTGATTGTAATGCTGGCCAGATGGAAGTGGCGGCAGCACTACGCTTGTTTGAGCGGTCACTTGAAAAGCACAAGCTTCGTTATACGACAATGCTGTCGGACGGCGACAGCAGGACATTCCATGTACTCACAGAAAAAGAGGTGTACGGCTTCATAAAGGTGGCCAAAAAGGACTGCATAAATCATGTACACAAGCGTATGGAAGCTGCCTTACGTACCCTTGTAGAGAAAAAAAAGCTCAAGGTGGCTCACTTGGTGGAAAGGGCAGACTTGCGCAATAAAAGAGAAAGAAGATCACCTCATACTATGGCTACGCATTGAGAAGCCACAGGAACGATGTTCTAGGTATGCAGAAGGCTGTTCTAGCAAATTTGAACCACATGTCTTCAACTGACAAGGCATCAAAGCATGACCTTTGCCCTGAAGGCCCTGAATCCCGGTGCAAATTTTAGAGAGCTCTTGCGAAAAATGAGAAGCCACCACCACACGAGCACAGCCTGCCTGATTTCGTAACTGAGGCATTAGAGCCTGTGTTTAGGCGACTAAGCAATAATGCCCTTAGTTTGGAAAGGTGCAACGATGGGATCACCCAGAACCCAAGTGAGAGCCTGCAGCAGGCCCCCAAAACTCGGCATGCATCCTTGCGGTGCATTGAAAGGGCAGTTGCCGAATCCATCAGCCGCTTCAACTAAGGCACAATCAAGAGCAACGTGAAAATTGCCGAGAAGCTGGGCTACAGGGCTGGCAATAACTCGCAGCCTTGAGAAGGACAAGGGCAGGCAGCAAAAATCGCGAAGAGAGCATCTCGACAGCAGTTCAATAAAGGAAAGACTTTCAAAGCATCACAAGCCAGCAGGGGACTCTGCTTACAGCCCTGCTCTGCTGTAAACAGTCATGATGGCAAATAGTGAGAATTTTTGCAAAAATAAATATTCTTGGTTTTAGACCCAAACATTGTGTAAATCTATTGTCTATCCAAGGACAATATTATTACATGATTTTTTTGTGTTCCTTTCACTTGCAAGGCACTGGAATGACCACAAAGTAAAAAAATAATAATTCTCATGCTGAGTCAATGACTATTTCATAGTTCTAAAACAAGCTGTGAGCAGTATTCTGGGTGGGTACAGTGAAATTTAGCATGGCCATTTGTCCTATAATATAGGGCTACAGAGTGATGTCATTAATATCGCTGTAGCTTCACTTTAGCAAAAGTTAAAGTTGCTAGAAACTTCGAACGCGTTTTTCTCTGTTCGATGTTTTTGCACATTGCACTCGGCCTTACGGTGGTTTTTCCTATGTTAAACTTGAGTGAATGCGACAAAGTTGGTATCATTTTATTCGTCTTGACATGATCTAGGGGGTGATGCTATTTCTATTTCTTTAGCATCACTTCAAAAATTACCATTGAAGATTTTAGTGAGAGAAATTTATTGTTATATAGTGACCATATGTGTTCGTCCGTTTTCTTGCTTATAAAATGCCTTCAAATGGATAAAAATAGCATCACCCCCTACAGCAAGTCTCCAGCATTGGGATTATGCATTCACTTTTTGGATTTAGCAAGAATAAATTGCCAAGAAGTCCCGTAAAAAGTACGCAATTAAGATTCAGACATTCATATTTTCTAAACCACATGAAATATTGAGAAACAAATTACAGATTTGAAATCAGTATGAAAAACTAGCTTAGGTAGCGAAGTTTGGTCAAGATCGAGCAAAAAAATTAAAAAAAAATTTTAGAACCCACGTTCCCTCTTAACTCCTGTGACGGTTGCCATGAAGCGCGATGGCGGCGACAACGTGCACAAACACAGCCGCAACAGGCGAAGTCACCACACGAACCAAGGCACCAGTAGGCATAGCATGGGCGTAGCGAGCAGCTGTTAGTAGACACTGGATGCGCCGAGACACTGGATGCGCCGGTGGCCCAAGCACTTCCGCCGGGTGGTGACTAGCGCCACCTAGCCACTTCCTCCTCATTCACTATCATCATCGTCATATTCCGCAGCAGTTAGCTCGGTTTCGGTTTCTCCAAAACTTTGGTTCTGCCGTCGGTTACGGCAAGCGGTGCTTGAGCCTCCAAGCCGCCAAGATTGCGTGACTCTGGAGTCCGATAGCCCTTTCCGGAGTTGTCCGAGATAACCGGTGCGCGGCTAAATCCCTCCGAATTAATGAGCATTTGACCTCATTGAAATATACACAGTTTTGCCGGGACACCGCGAGTCCGAGTTAATCAAATTTCCGAGGTAACGAGGTCCGTATAAACGAGCCTTTACTGTACAGCAAGTGGCATACGTAATGTGCCCAGTCGCTGTTAGGGAAGACGCTCCTCGAAAGAACTTTTTGTTTTAATTTCTAGTCATAGACTCTTGGAAATACTGTTGTTAATATAGTTTGTCATGGAGATTATAAATATGCAGTCATATTTTGTGTAGCTGCTATCGTCATTGAGTTATGACATGCACAACAGCAAAAAGTTACATTGTTTGCAGATTCTCTTTTATGTACTTAACTTTCAGTAAAAGCTTTGTCTCTAATCTTATGACTCTTGGTAGATTGTGAAGTGCAAATATCTATCCAGATATGTCACAGAAATATTGGAACCAAGAAAAAAAATCGTATTGAATGACTAAATATTTTCAATCTCCCTTGAAACAATAATTTAATATTTTCACGACTAATTCTGGTAGGCATTGCGATTTCAAGTAGATATTTGCATTCTGCATGTGTTGAATATACGTGCCTAGTTTCGTTACTATACAAGAAGTATAAGTGTCTAAAAGGCTGCCTGGAAAACGTGATATTGTAAAAAAAAATGAAAATGAGAAAAACAAGTTTAAAAGTTTGGAAGTTGACTTTTAGTAGGAAATCATTTTTTTTTGCATCAAATTGGGGCACGATGAAAAGCAGCTTGCTTTGAATGCTTGGAAGACCGAGAATCGCACAGAATCTTGAAATTTGGTCGTGGTCTGCACTTATAGCGCGTGCTGCCAGGACTGCCTTCACGTTTACAGCAAAGCTGTCACGCAAGCTGCGGCTGTTGGAACGAGCGCTCGGCCCCTGGTGCCTGGCTGAAGTAATACGTCTCGACGCGTGCGTGAATGATAGTGTAGATTTAGGACAATCGATATTTCCACGGCATAGTTCGAGAAATGCCAAAAGCGCTTTCCAGCTGCCTCTCGGACGCCGCGTCCCCGTTCGCAACAGGTTGGGCATTGCGCACCCACCACAAAGGCAGTCATCGCATCAATTTCACAAAGCAGTGTGTTGGCAGTAGCAGCACCTATTGGTCTACATTCACTCTTGAAGAATGCGCTATTCATTTGGGGTGCACTGACGAATTCCATGGCAGCGGCTATTTTACAACCACTGTCACCGCGAGGTTTGGCGTCAGAATTAGGACTATCCTAAATCGGAGCATCGGGGTGTTGGTCAGCGGTGAAATCGGCGTCCGCTGTCACTTTGGGAAGTATTCGACGCTGTTTACCTGGATTTTTGAGGCGAGTTCTGAACTTTCGACTATCTAGAGTGCACTTCTTGGGGCTTGCCATGACGTAAAACTAGAGAGAAATGCCGAACAACTCGATTGCGACATCCGAGGCTTCGCTCTTTTGCCGGAAAGATAGGAGGGGGAGGAGGCGGGGCGCACCGCCGACCAATGGCGGCCTCGCGCTGCTTGTTGCGATATTCAAAACGCGTGGCATATGCGTTTTTTTTTTGTTGTTGTTGTTGTTCTTTATTCTTCGTGAAGATACGAGACTGGCTACTAGTGGATTGTAAGGGGAAGGCCTTCGCAGCATGCGTGCACGATTGCAAATGGCGGCCAACACGTCGTTGCGACAGGACACCACGAACAACGCAATTTTTGGTGACTTTTGCGCATTTCTCACGTTACCGCTTCCCACATGGAAGCATTTTTAAATCATTTCTTGTGCGAATTTTAGCTTGATATTTTCAGAAGTAAAAGATTATAGTCCAAGGATGCCAATACCAAAAGAAAAGCCAATACAAAAAGAAAAGTCCAATGCCAAAAGAAAAGCGAAAATTTTCCAGAAAACCGCGACTTTTCGACCCATGTCTCCCGTTAAGGAATTGACTGCTACAGCAGACTCATATGCAGAAAAGGCAGTAACAATTGACATGCATCAAGTCAAACAGTCTTAGTTAGGAAGACCGCCAACACCAAGTAGCAGGAAACTACGATTCAAAGTTGCTAAAAATAAAATGTCTAGGCTTGTGCGAATATTTGAATGCTTCGAACGAATAGTTGAGTATTCGAATTTGCTTCAATTTGAATTTAAATTATCGAGTATTTTCGAAGTATTCGCAATGAACGCATAGGTGTACAGTCGAGCCCACGTATAACGACCCTACTTGAAACGAACTTTTGCTTAAAACGAACAATATCCGTGTGACCGTGGAAATATACATTGTTTCAATGACACAAAATCGCACTTACAACGAACGTCTTCGAGCGCCACCGATCGGTCACAGCGAACAAAGTCGGCGCGCTGCGGACTTCCCGGGAAACCATTTTCAACCACGGATGAGGCATCATCCGCCAGGTGCCCATAGATTTTTATTGTTGAATGCCGACCCTGCCTCCGTGCCCCCCTAGTTGCCGCTCCCCTGACCACTCCTTGTTACGCACCCTTCTGTCTTTTGTCTCCCCGCTACTCTGAGCGCCCCGCATCACCAGACGTGGCCCGTGTTTTCACACTGCCATGCATCTTTTGTAGACCAGTCAGCCATCTCCCCTGTTTTTAATCGCTGGTACTGTCGTTGATGCCGCCGGCCTGGAGTGACCAGACCATTTGCCAACATAGTCTGTATCCGATCGCCTGTGTCTTATCCTATCGTTCTAGTGCACATGTGCTAGAACGATAGGATAAGACACAGGCGATTCCCACCCACTCTGAGAATTTGTGATTCTTTTCGTGTTTAGGACCTTGCTCACTTCACACTCAACTGAGCGTGCCCTCCGCATGCGCGCGGAAGTGTAAAAACGGTTGTTAATTTGCACGGAACGAATCGCGAAATATCGAAGCCAGTAAGGCCAGGTGAGCCTGCCGGCGCAACAAAACAATTCTTTGACCACGGCCGCCGCAAACAGAAAAAGGCTTTGTGGTGGGCACTTAAGACAGTATTGGCTCTGGTACTGTGCTTATTCCCTTCCCTTGTTGGTGGTGATGTTGCATCCCAGGAAATGCAAATTCGTAACTGGTGGTTAGTGCGTTGTATGTTGAATGCCTAGTGATGTCGTGCTCCCGACATTTACGTATTAACGAGATTTCACTGTATAGTTTAGATTGCATGAAACTAACTGGACCAGCCATTGATGTTACTGATCCTTCTTCCTTGGCTTCTCTCGTTCTTTGCAGAGTGCTCCGGGTGGCTACAATGCCCTGAGACGCATGTACACGGAGCTGCAGGAGCCCATGATGAACGCAGCGCAGGAACAGTTTGGCGGAAACCCGTTTGCATCGTTGCTTGAAAACAGTGAGTCTGTGTTCTGACTGGTAATAGCAAGAGTGGCAAAGTGGCTGTTCATGCATTTGACTGCGTTCACAGTAGAACTACAGCTATCTTTTCTTTTTGTGTGTCTGTATTGTATAGTAAACGTAGTGTCTGGAGTCAAGAGATCGTGACTCTAAGGAGTCTGATGACGAACATCAGATGTAGCTGTAGGGATCGATTAATCGCCTAGTGACATCTCTGTACTGCAAAAAGATCATGAGGCACGCTCTAATGGGGGATCTTGGATTCATTTCGACCCCCTGGGTTTCTTAACCGGTGCCTTTGACTATGCAGACGAGCACTTTTGCATTTAGGTATCATTGAAGTCCTGTCACGGTGGCCATGATTTGTTGTGACCATTTGCTGAGGAGTGTGACCATGTGAGTGTTAGGCTTTCGTACCGTGTGCAAGGCCGATTGTGGAACTCGTAGTTGCTACGATCTATCGGTGGCATTTTTGCTTAGCTCTAGGACTGTTCAGCTAGCTTTGGGAGTAAGTTGAGCTTAAACTGGTTCTCTTTTGGCATTTGCGCACGATCGTCATGACTAATTGCACAGCTCTTACACGGCACACTCTGCCTTCACTCAAAAGCTCCAGTGCCCCCTTTAGTTCTTGCCCCTTCTTTGTTTTGTAAGCCAGACAGGCTGCAAACATTTAAGCACTGTGTGATGTGCTATGATGTGCTATCTTGTGTTCTACTCAAGCTCGCTTGTCATAGTGTTCTGCTGCTGCATACATGTCACGGGTTTGATTCCTGGCTGTATGAAAGATCAGACTGGGGTAAAGGGGTAAAAAGAAGGCATTGCCTCATCACAGTGGTGCTGCTCATAGCCTACCCTTTTGCTTTAAACATAGCTCCCCTTTCCACCTTCCTTCTATAATAGCTCATGGCCTTTTTTCAGCGTGATATATTTATGTGTGGTACAGGAAGCAGCCACATAAGCGCATAAAAAAAAAAGCATAAGTTCAGGAGAGGGTGGAGGCTTGAAGAGGCAACATTCGTGAACACGAATTTGTTACTTGAGCTGACATTTCGTCAAGCGGACTCATCTTCTTTGAACCTGCAAGAGCAGTAGCCTTGAAGAAACGAAGTCTTCTTGTTAAAATGTTAGCTCCACCAGCAGACCCTGTTATCAAATTCTTCATCTCCACATGTGTACAATGTGGCACCATGTAAAGATGCAAGAACACCAATGTGAGAGCAAATTATTGCCCGCAACCTCGTTTTTCTGGAATGCGAGCAGTGTGGCGAAATCCGGCCATTCTCATTATGCAGGTGCGCAGGCAGGCAGTGCGCCCCAAGGTCAGTCGCAGTCATCGCAAGGAACGGAGAACCGCAACCCGCTACCCAACCCATGGGCACCCGGCGGTGGCTCTGCGGGAAGTGGTGGCAGCACAGGCACAGCTGATGGTGGCAGCACCACAGGGAGCACTGGCAGTGGCCTGGGAACGAGTAGCATGTTCGGCACGCCCGGGATGCAGAGTGTCATGCGGCAGCTGGCTGAGGACCCAAGCCTCATGCAGAACATGATGACTGCGCCCTACATGCAGAACATGCTTCAGGTGATGGCCGCCAACCCGGACATGGCAAGCCAGGTGGGTACCAGCTCTAACGTCCATGTACTATGTGTGCATCTTGGCTCATCGGTAATGAAATATTTGAGCATGAAGTGAGCCCACGTGCACCAGCTTTACAATGCGTCCAGTTGCCATTTTGTAATGGTGATCTCAAAACATATACTTGGCCGTTGCTAATGCCGTGAATGTTGTTTCAGTGTTGTAATCAATGGACTCATTTTGCGACATGCGCTTTCCAAATAATGTCCTAGCTCCGCGAAGTCATCCTGCAATATCAGTCTAAAAATCATCCTAAAATCATCTTAAAAATCATCCTAAATAAAAATCACCCTAAAAATGGCGAATTATGAAGTCATCCATGCTCGTGCCAGCATGGTGCGTTACATAAACTTTATGCCATATGACAGCTGGCAGCATAGTTTTGTTTTCACGCTGTAGACAGCTCACTGTGGCTACATCTAAGCGTTACCATGCCAAACGAATTTTTCAGTTTTTGAACATGTTTTCAACTACAGTTTAAGGGGGGGACACTCTACTTGAGACGAAATGTCAGATATTTTTATGCGTTTATAAAGAAAATTCACCGTGTGATTGAGATTTTGATGCTGATTTCAAAAATGCAATTACTGTTCCTCTAAATTAATTAGTTTTCGAGATATCTTAAAATAATTACTTGTTGTTTGTCGGTATAGTGAGACAGGAACTTTGTATTGCAGAGCTACTATTGGCACATGCCTGTATACTAATGACCATAAGCTACACAACGGTAGGAGTGCTTTTTTATTTGATAATTTTAGCAAGGTTTGTCGCACCTTGCACTTCTGTGTTGCAGACACGCCCACTTTATGCTCCAAATTCTGGCAAAAATTAAATTCGCACCTACCATTTTGTAAACTAAAGATACAGCTACATGTCAACAAAAATGACAGTCCTAGCTGCTCTGGAGGCAGAGATATCTTTTAGACAAGTTTGCAACTGCAGCGAAATTTGAATCACGAGAAATCATGCAAACACATAAGTTCATTTTGGGCAGACAGTAGCATAGAAAAGCTGTTTATTTACAATGATTTGCAAATCCAGCTTTCTCAGTAGTCACCAGACATGTAGTCCTTCTGTTTTGCATCACCTAAATGGCGTTTTTTCAATGCCCGCTGCATGTTTTACGCAGAGGCACACTAGCGAGCTGGTGCGGTCGCCTTGGGCTTGTGTGCCGACTAGGCCGCTTACCAGTTCGGTGACGCCTATGTGCGACAAATGTGTGCGCGTAATCAGCAATCCGTCCTATAACAAAACGGTTTTCCGGCTTGTCCAGATTGAGTTGTTGATGTCGCAGACTGAACTCGTGCACTCGCTCATCAATTTCAAGGCTCCAAGAGCAGCGAGGTGTGTTTCCTTTTCACGTAAGATTGCCACATTTTGGCCACGGCACAATATGTTCATCGTTGCGGACGCGTCGTTACAAGCACTCTACCTGTTGCCAGTAGCCTTCATTGCACTGGCGGCGAGCACGTTCACCGTATATGGATTGATTTTCTGCTGTTTGCTGACGCACGGCGAACTCACTCCACTCTGGCAACCCGCCACGCAGTTCATGTCGGACGGGGGGAACCCGCGGCATCGGCGCATTTAGCGATAAGACTGTGCTTCCGTTCCATCGTTGCAGAGATAGCTATCTCTCGCAGCTTCACTTCTGCTTTTTTACTTGCCGTCGTGCAACTGTTGAAGCTCCAAAACACAGCCGTTCTCAGTAACGTTGTCGGCAACCAACAGGCTCGTACGTGAGTTAGGCCTACACCGGTGACTCGGCGACCGCCGTTGCCCGCGTTGAGTTCGTTAACCTCGTTTTTCTGAGCCATAGCAGGGCTCTTTCTGAAGTTCACAGCGAACGAACGATCACCACACCCGCTTCACAAATTAGTGCGGCGAGGAATTTCTTTCCTGTGGCAGGCGGTCGACAGCACCATAACAAAATCGCACACGTCCGTGCGCGTCGCAATGAAAAAGCAGACGGCGGTAACGCCATTTGGCCAATCAGGTGCCTAGGTTTCGTGCCCCAAGCAGCCAATAGTGGTGGTGCCTCTCGATGACGAGTTTTTGCTGAAGAACCAATGAGCAAGGCGAGCCGCTGGTGGCGGGAAATTGAAGATGAAGAACGACCCTTCCAAACGAGACCAAGATGATCACGATAGCTCGTGTGTAACGGCAACGGTTCGGCGTGGAAAAAGCGCGACTTTAGTAGCGTCTATTTGGGCTCAGATTCATCTCACAGAGGTGTTATAAATTGATTTTGTGCCAGAAATAATGACGCAAGAAGCTTGAAACTTCTCAGATAAGTGCAAAAATAGTTGCAGATTCCGAAAATGTCAACTTCAAAAATTGTTTTTTTCGCAATTTTCGGCCTTTTAAGACCCATTTCCCAGGGGACGCGGCCCTTGAAAGCCGAAAAATCGAGAAAAAGTCTGTTTTTGAAAAATCATATTGTTGGGGTATATGTCACATAAATTATCTATTTTGTAGATATCAGCACCTAATGCAACACCTAAGTACACAAAAGTGCTATTTTTTAGGCCGCCGCAGTACCCAAAACTCGTCCAAAAGTCGAAACAAAACTTCACGCGTGCCCCATTCCGAGACCATGCGTTCGTACCGCGCCCATCTTGGTCTTGTTTTGACCGTGAATTCTTTCTGTCTCGTTTGCCGTGTTTCAAAATGGCGTCAACGGCGCAGTTGAGATGCTATCGGCGTTTCTCCAAGATGCGATGCGGAGCGCTTATTGGCTAGAGCAGCTCATTCATATCTCGCAGACGAAAGCGCGCCTCCCTTTGGCTGCTGCGCTGGAAGCGGGGGCGATCCCTCCAGGCGATGGCACGTCCGGCGCGCTCGTCTCGTTGTTGCTCTCAGCTCGTCCGCCACGATAGACGTTTGCTTACAAGCCACGTTTTGCCTTGCGCTGTATTTTCGATCAGTTTCTCTTCTTTCTATTCGCACAAGTTTTGTGCCCTTCATTTTTTTTGCTGTGCGTGATGCCAGCAACGAAGCCGAAGACTGTGTGCTAGTTCGAAGCGCAGAAACGCGTTATGCGGCTTCTACGAGAATCGAAAATCCGCTTTTCTGCTGAAAGTGCCCAGTGCGTAGATACTTGCGGTGGCGAAACTGTGCTGTCGGCTGCTGCCAGTCCAGAATCAACACACTGTATGTAACTGGAGCCGTGAATGCATCGAGCGTGTCGAAGATCCTCGGATCCAGCACATGCTCTGAATCAGTGCCGTCGAGCGTGACACCTAATGTTGCTAAGATCGCCAAACCCAGCACTTCGTCTGCACCGGGCCAACAGTGTCCATGGGTCGTCTACCCTTCATCTGCGAATGCAAGATGTCGAGACGCCGTTTGCGCTAAACTCGAATCTACGCCAGTGACACAGAAAAAGTTTCAAACTACACTTAGAGAAGATGGAGGGATGACAAAAGAGGAAAAGAGTGCACAAGGACACTTCAAGCTACTCTGCTGGAGCTTTTTGAGGAAACCACATGTGCTGACCTTTCGAAAACCGTTTTCTCAAAATCGATTTTCTAGCTAGTTGTGGGGCTGCGGAAAGCGATTTCTCAAGAACTGCTCATCAGATTTGTGGGCAGTTTCTTTTATTCTGCTCCTGGTTGATTTTGCCTGAGTGTAACAAGCTTCTTTTTTTAGAAAATTGGTGCCATGAATTATTAATAAACAATTATTTTTTGATAAATGTCATACCTACTGGCTAGATCAAATTCAAGGTTGCATAAAATTCTTTTGGAGAGGAAATTGAAAAAAAACTGCTTTTTAGTGCCCTAGGATATCTATCCAGAGATGAATACAAATAGTTTCAGCCTTCTGGTATGTCCTGGTGTTTCTTCTGGCTCTTCCTCAAGCGCATAAGTGAGCTATCCAGTCAGCCTTCCCTAACTTTAGAAGCCCTGAACACAATTTAATTTGCAGTTTTTTTAGTTTTAATGTAGTTAACATACCCTGAAAGTTTCATTAAAATACAGTGGACTCCCGTAAAACAAAACTTGGTTAAATGGAAAATCTGCATAAAAGAAACTATCCAGGCACGTTTGGTGTGTCTCCTATATATTATCGATAAAACGTTTTGGGTAATCAGAATTTTTTTTTTTTTGCTTACGTCGGTAAGGGAAGACATGGTTCTTAGGGCTCTCTCATTTATTTTTGAACCAAGTGTGACAGAAGCTGGCATGCTTAGTTTCTTCTCCGGATTCTAAAAATGTAGTTATTTTTTCTGTAGCTTTATTAGTTAATTGAGTAATCATGATAACAATTTATATTGTTCTTACCATAATAGAAAAATAATCGCCTGTCAAAAATTTATAAATAACAAAGGGATTGACAGTAGAAAGCATAAGACATGCAACATAAGAAGCACTTTTTTGAATGGGTCATTATTTCTTACTTTACAGTACACTAAACTTCACAGCCCTGAATGTGGCCATTGTGTGGTCACACAAAAGACTGGTTTGAAAAACTTGCATCAAGAGAAATCAAAATCTGTTTCCTATGTTGTGTGCTCCAAACATATAGCTTCATGCTGCAAAATAAAATATTCTGCTATCTGTAATAGTTTCAGATATATTGCAGTAATTTTCATGCAGGGTATACAAAATTGCCATTTTGAGAAAATGAATAAAACAAGGAATTCTAACATTTGTAACTGTAAAAATGTATGCACTTATAATTACATAGCCATTGACATATAAATGAATGCTAGAAAGCCTAAGGAGTGCAATGCTGCAAGCTGATCGAAAATTGAACGAGTACTTCTCGAATTACAGCACAGTAAAGTTCATTGCATGTAACCAAATACAGAAATTTTTATATTAAAATAAAAAAAGTGAAGCTGCCCAATAAAAATAGGCTCCCGGCATTGTTTTTTGTGCACATTTAGCTACATTGCGCAAGAACAATTACAGCTCTAGCTGTCCTAAGTCCACTTTTACCGAACAAGCAAAAGAAAGTGGTCAAAATCTGTGCTTCAAGAATAATGCTGTTAAAACTTAATTTCGCTTTTCCGAGGGAAAAATATCATGGCACACATACTTTTAGTCAGTTAATATCCACCGGGAATGTAATAGGACTGATTGTACGAGCGTGTCGTTTCTTTTAGTCCTGTAGCAAGTTGTCGCCATGTGCTCGTCTGCCGCGACGCCGCTTATCAGTTCGGTGACTGTACTGACGGCGATGTGCGACAAATGTGCGTGCGTCATTCACGATCCGTCGAATAACGCGGCGATGTTTTCCGGCTTGTCCTGAATAAGTTACCCGTAAGTGTCACGAACCAATGTTGCTCCCTCGCTCATCAATTCCGAGGCTACACGAGTGCTGAGGTGTTAGCTTCCTTTTCACGTAAGACTGCCGCATTTTCGAGTGGAGATCGCAACAACGTTGCGAACACGTCGTTAAAAGCAGTCTACCTGTTGCCAGTAGCCTCTATTGCGAGGGCCGCGAGCATGTTCACTGCGAACGGATTGACTTTCTGTTGTTGGTCGACGCGCGGCGTACTCCACTCTGACGACCCGTCGTGCAGTTCAAGGTCCTTTTGTCAGGCGAGGGGAACCACAACATCGGCGGGTTTAGTGATAAGACTGCACTTCCGTTCCGTCACTACGAAGATTGATATCTCTGGTAGCTTCACTTCTGCTTTTTACTTGCCGTCCTCTAACTGATGAGGCTGCAAAACACAGCCGTTCTCAGTAACGTTGTCGGCAACCAACGGGCTTGTACTTGAGTTAGGCCTACACCGGTGGCTCGGCGACCGCCGTTGACCGCGTTGAGTTTGTTATCCTCGTTTTTTCTGAGCCATAGCGGGGATCTTTCTGAAGTTCACAGCGAACGAACCACCGCCGAACCCGCTTCACAAATTGCTGTAGCACGGAACTTCTTTACTGCTGCAAGCAGTCAGTAGCACCATGACAAAATGGCGCATGTCCATGCGCATCACAATGGTGAAGCAGACGCCGAAAGCGCCCCTTGGCCAATCGGATGCCTAAATTTGGTCACGTGCCCCAAGCAGCCAATTGAATCAATCGCACGCTAGTGCTTCTCGATGACGCGTTTTTGCTAAAGAACGAATGAGCAAGGTGAGCCAGCGTTGGCGGGAAATTTAAGATGAAGAATGACCCTTCCAAACAAGACCAAGATGAACACGATAGCTCGTGTGTAACGGCAACAGTTTGGCGCGGAAAAAGCACGATTTTAGCGTCGATTTGCGCTCACATTCATCTCACAAGGATGTTATAAATTGATTTTGTGCCAGAAATAATGACGCGAGAAGCTAGAAACTTCTCAGATAAGTGCAAAAATAGGCGCAGATTTCGAAAATGTCAGCTTCAAAAAGTCGATTTTTTTGCGATTTTTGGCCTTCTAAGACCCGTGTCCCCCCTTAAATGGAACTAAAACGGGCAAAATCCATGAAAGGCAGAAGTGGCCACGGCAGTCTAGCAGCCATGAAACAAAGGCCAAAGTTAGCTTAGCCTAGCCAAGTCAATCTAGCGATTGCACATGTCTGCGCACGCCAAGCAGCAATGGGCTCTTCGTCGTAAACTTAAAGACAGCATTGAAGAACCTATAGCTGAAGTTCAAGATGAGGACCTGTTCTCAAGTGGTGATGAGATGGTGTGTGATCTCGAGCTCATTTCAGTGGCTGACAGTGCAGCAACAGATGCTGTCTTCCTGTTGCAGCGCTACTTTGAACACGATGGTGGCACAGAGTTCCTGTCCAGCCTTTCAGCAATGCACTCTTACAATGTGAGAAAGGGCTTGACCAAGACCGAGCAAATTATCACCCCTTTTTTCCTGATTCAGTAATATTAGCAACATTTTTCTTTCTAATCAACTATAGTAGTATTGTATATACTTCATGATCTTTTTGTTCAGTCAGCGACAGATGGTGCTTTTGAAATAAAGTCTTATTTCGTTCATTTTGTGGGCTTTGCTTAAATGAAATTGCTCATAAATGGAACAAATTTTCTTAACCCTTCGAGTTCCGTTTAAGAGGAGTCCACTGTATCTTTAAAAAATAAAGAATTCGGATTTCTGGAGTAGCCTCCCCCCTTGATCTGAAAGCATTACTTTGTCAGGCTGACGAAAGAATGTTTCCGTCTGCTGTACGCAAAATACATGTGGAAAATGGCATGAATGTTTCCATTGAAACTCGTGCATAAAGCACTTGCAGCTGTGAAATAGCAGATGTAATTCCACACAGCAGATGAACTCCCAATTTGAAGGGAGCATGCCCTTGTCTGCCACATAAGCTTGGCCTTCACGGATGTTTTAGGAACTAAAAGGAAGAGAAGTTGAGGAAATATGATTTTTCTCTCCTCACTTGTGAGTGTTGCGGACACCACTCTGGTTGTACCTAAGCAAACACAATTCGACCTCCGCTTGGTCTCATTTTTTATAAGACAGCTAGGGAACACCGCTTTGCAGTACCCGTCTAGCGCTTCACCAACCTAGTTAAAAGAAACTTTCCTTGTTTCTAACTCATCAGAATGCTTAGGGATATGCTGCAACTTCTTTTTCCATAACTTCACGTTCAAGTATTAAAATATTTGATTTCGTTCACATCAAGCTCTGTTATTCGAATTTGCTTTGCAACCAAAATTTGTTCTATTTGCAGAACTCCACAAAAAAGCTATGAAGTGCAACCAAATGACATCTCTTTTCTTTATTCGGGTGCGGCAACTGTTTTTCGCTACTTGGGAAATGCACAGGATTTATTGCAGTCATACAGTCGAACATGGTTATATCGAACCCACATATATCGAATTTTCGGGTATATCGAACTCGCAAGTTATTCCCTTGAAGTTCCTTTGTAAAAGTATAGAAATTCACACGTTTATATCCAACGGTATTTTTACCCGCCTTCGGATATATCGAACGCCGCACGAGCTGGAAGGTGCACTTCGGCACTTGCCCCCTCCCATCGATCTCCGCGACAGCACGGCTCTGCGCGCGAGTTGGAAGGCGCGCTTTCGACACTCGCAGCAGCGCCCAGCGACCTCTGTGCCGCACCACGCCTCCGACAAAACCCGAAACGCTCGAAAAAAGTAAGGGCGAGAGGGCTCGGACTGCGCAATCTCAAACTTGCAAAACGGCTTTTTTTTCCCCCGTTTCTCTTTCTTTCTCTCATGCTTTCTCCACGTACTCATGCTTTCTCCACGTAAGCAGAAATGTTTTGACTGTCGCGGAGCAGCAAATGCCGGGAGCCTGTCATGTGCGCGCTTCTGCCCACAGGAATGTAGAAAGACACTGCCTGGTTTTTAAAAGTGCACGCGAAGAACATTCCGGTGGATGACCCATTGCTGATCACAAAAGCCTAATAGTTTGCCACTGTACTCGGTGAAACAACTTCGGCGACAACAGCGGGTGGCGTCACCAATTTAAGCAACGCTACATCGTTGGCAAAACCATTTCTGGCGAAAGTGAAGCTATCAGCAGCCAGGACATCCAGCAGTGGATGATGAAGGAGTGGCCGGAAATCTCTAGGAAGTTTTCTCCCGCGGAGATCTTTAATGCCTGACGAGACGTGAAGACGGACACAGTGGTTAACTGCTTCCGCAAGGCAGGCTTCCAGACTGCGAAACTTGCAGAAACCGGTGAAGACGACGACCAGCGCATAGTCGAGGCGTTTTATGACTTGTGATTGAGACTAGCGTGTTCAGCATTTCAAAAACGAAGAAGCAGGCCAAGGTCAGCGATTTTTTTCACGCAAATAAATTGTTCTGTTGCGGCTTGCGTGCGGAATTAGTTGTCATTCTTCAATGCACGTATTGTAGGTGATCATCCGCTACAAGTAAGCTTTTCGGGTCTGTACTTTTTCTATATCAAATTTTTCATATATCAAACTAATTTGCTATCCCCTTCGAATTCGATATATCCGTGTTCGACTGTATGTAATATCAACAGTTAACATTCAAGTGATTCATAATATTAATCAAACTTGAAAATAAACTCTGTAGTTACAGAAGCCTCACATGGGAAAGGTTGTTGGAATTGCGGCTTCGAAGACATAGCTCGTGCAGCTTTCTGTACCTTTCTTTGCCATGCAATGACAGTAAGTTACTTCGTGTGCATTTACCACCAGTGTAGATTGCCTGCCATGGTAGGTCACTGGCTCAAATGTTCTACTGCTGGCTTCGAGAATGTGTGTTTGCTTTCCAGCCATGGTGGTCATGGTGGCCATATTTTGACGGGGGAGTTGAATGCAAGAGCGCCAGTGTTAAATTTAAATGCACAATAAAAGGTGGGGGGGGGGGGGGGTGTCAAATAATCTTTTAGCCTTCCGCTACACCATGTCCCATATTTGCATTGCATATATGGCATAAAACTTGCCAAGTTAATTTGTTTTACTCATTTTCGCAGGTGCTTGCAACGAACCCTCTGCTGGCTGACAACCCCCAGCTGCAGGAACAGATGCGGCGGATGATGCCACAGTTCTTACAGCAGTTGCAAAACCCAGAGGTGCAGGGACTCATCACCAACCCGCAGGCCCTGCAGGTGAGTGAGCTTGAGAATTTATTGGGAGGAAAAAAGAAACTTACCTCGGCTTTCAGTTTTTTTATAGCCAGCCTCCGGTGTAGTCGTTTGACATTCTTGGTGAAAACGGGGAACAGAATTTCTGTGCTAGATACAGCATACCAGCTGGCGAGTAGTGTACTTCTGCATGAGGGTGTTACTCATTTAAAAAGTTATTAAAGATTACATTTGTGGCTTAAGGGGAGATGTGACTACAGAAATGTCTATTTATGCATCAAATTTAATCAAATTTGTAAGTTATGTAACGTTTTCCCATGCGTTTGATATGAACTATCAGTGTGAGGCTCCTTACTTGGTATGAATGTTGTGAGCAAGAATTTTTCAAGAAAGGCGATGCGAGCAAGTTATGTGATGATTGTTGTGACAATAAGATTGCAAAAGTAAGCAACTTAACAATGTATTTGTGCAAACACACAATGGTTCTGAAGGCAGTCCTTGTTGTACGGCACGAGCAGGCCATGATGCAGATCCAACAGGGAATGGAGCAGCTGCATCGCGTGGCCCCCTCCATGTTCCCCGCTGGAGCGGCTGCCGGCTTAGGCCCCGGACTGGGTGCTGGTCTGGGTGCAGCGGTGCCGGGCACCACCACCTCGGCGAGCTCGACTACCACCACTGGTGCAACCACCACTGGCCAGACTGCAGCAGGAACGAACACCACTTCTACTACCACCAGTACCACTGGTACCGCCACCACCACCACCACCACTACGAACAGCACCACCAGTGGAACCGCCCCTCAAGGCCTAGACCCCCTCAGCCAGCTCATGGCACGCATGATCACTACCATGGCCACGCAACAAGCAGGCAACAATGTGAGTAAAGTTTCTCTGCCATTAATTTTGGTGCTGCGATCTTGAAATATGCACAAATTGGTAGCATGGATTTTTATGGCATTTTATCTACGTGGATCCCTCGCCTTATAATGAAGTGAATGAAAAACAGCCTTGCAATAGATATTCAGTCGAGCCCACATATAACCCCACTTCTGCCCCACTTAAAACAAACTGCCCACTTAAAACAAACTTTTTAAGTGGTCTGCCCCACTTAAAACAAACTTTTGCTTAAAACAAACAATATCCGCGTGACCGTGAAAAGATACATTGGTTCAATGGCACGAAATCGCACTTACAACGAACGTCTCCAAGCGCCACTGATCGGTTACAGCGAACGGAGTCAGTGGTCTGCCGACTTCCCGGGAAACCAATTTCGACCACCGATCAGGCATCGGCGAGGTGCCCATACATTTTTATTATTAAACGGGGACCCTTCCTCCGCGCCCATCTAGTTGCTGCTCTTCCCGACTGCTTTTTGTTACGCACCCCTCCGTCCTTTGTCCCCCCGCTACTCTGAGTACCCTGCATCGCCAGACAAGGCCCGTGTTTTCACACTGCCACCGATATTTCGAAGACCGGTCTGCCATCTACCCTGTTTTTGATCTCTGGTACTGTCGTTGGCGTCTCCGGCCTGGAGTGGCCGGACCATTTGCCAACATCGTCGGCCACCGACTGTATCCGATAGTCTGAGTCTAGTGCGTGCGCGTACGCTAACCCACCGACTCTGATAGTTTGCGATTCGTTCGTGTTTAGGATTTCTTCTCGCTAACTTCACACTCAGCTCAGCATGTCTTCCGTGCACATGCGCGGAACGAATCGCAAAATATGAAGTTCGTGAGGCCACGCAAACCCGCCGGCGCAACAAAACGATTTTTTTGACCACGGCCGCACGCACCGATTCAGGCGGCCATGCACTCTTTCCAAGTTTTTCTACGTGCGAGTCTCGCGGACCTTTCAAGCAAGCTACCCGACCTGCCTCCTTCCCGTGTGTTTCAGTTTACAAGGTCGCCCTCCCGCCGCATCCTCCCCTCTCCTTATCGCAACTCCTTGCCCTTCTCTCGCAAGTCTGCTCTCCTCTCTTGATCACAACCCCTTCGCCCGTCTCCACCGAGCCGCGACACCCGCCACGCTGGCTCGAATTAGTTTGGTTTTCTGACTGAAACGGGCCCAAAGCTGCCCTACGCGTTCTGGCATGTGTGTCGCGTGTGCGCGTCTTGATCGCTCTTGGTGTGCGTGTGTGGTCATGATGGCCGACGGGAGGACTAGCATGTTTTTTTCCTGCTGCTCAACAAAACAACGAAAGTGTGGCCGCTTGACTTGAGCGTAATCCGCGCGTTAGGTGCCGGGTTGCGGAGCGCCTGCTCATAGCTCTTGACCACCTGCCAGCCAACTTGCCGCTTCGGGCGTCCCGGTATTCAGCTGTGGAGATGGTGAATATTTCGTGGGTGGCGGTGGCGACTACACGCGCGATACTGTTTTCGCGAGGTTGACTTCGTCGACGTCAGGCCCGATGACGAGCCTGAAGCTTCCGAACTGCGGCGGCGATTTGTGGCAGCACGTCGTCGACTCCGACCTGGGAGAGCGGGTGGGACATCTGTTGCGATGGTTTAATTACGGCCGATGATGATGCCGACACTGCGGAAACGTTCACGGATCGGGGCATTGTGAATGAAGTACGTGGCGAGAGCGATTTGGAGGAATCGGATTGCGAGAACGACGAAACTTTTGAGCCAGTGCCTCATGCAGCTTATGCCACGGGCCTCGGCGAACGAGCACCTTGCCGCTTTAAGTGAACTTGAGACCGCCCTTATCGCTTCTGCTCGTCGAAACATGTGCATCACGAACTTTTGGGGGCGAAAAAGTTTGTGTTTTCACTAGCAACTTTTTTTTTAAAAGCTGGGTTTCATTTATTACGAACTTCGGAATACAGCGAAAGGATGCCGTGTCACGCTCAGGTTTGTTATAAGCAGGGCTCGACTGTAGTTAGAAATATTCATAACAAGTTTTGGATATAATGAACTTGCTTTTCATGTAACATACACGTTTTTGTATGAGGTTTCACTCGATCTATCAACATTGTATTGGAGGAAATTAAATTATCACGTTTGTCATTGAATTATAGCAGCATTTCACTTTTATATTCTTTCAATATGCGCTCTCTCGAGGTAATGACGAGCTGCTGCTTTTGCTGCGCTAAATTGAGACACAAGTCCAAAACTGAGAAGACAGATTGCACCATTGGTCTTCTCGTTTTGGACCTGTGTTCTCGAGTTAGCGCACCAAAAGGAATGATGCCATACCAGCTAGCCCTTATTGAAATGAGCATAGATAATTTAGTGGCTGGTAATACATGTGGTTTCTTTGTCTGTCGTGTAACTGTGGAACTGCTTGTGCCTTGAACAGCAGCCACCTGAGGAACGGTATCGGTCGCAGCTGGAGCAGCTAGTTAGCATGGGCTTTGTCAACCGAGAAGGCCAATCTGCAAGGTGAGCAGCGTGCCACTTCAGTTTGTTCTAATTCGAAGGTGTGCAGTTTCCGAACATGTTGCTACATTTGTGTAAGTTTTGGTTGACTACCATTAAAAAACAAAAATCTAAAATGTTCTTAAAAATAGAGCAAGGACTGTTCGAAGGACTGTGTGTACGTGAACTGCAAGCTAGCATGCTTCAACTGATCCAGCTCTGGTTGTGCCAAGTATTTGAACTCTTTAATATCGCTTTGATGGTGTTTGTTATTCTATTCAATTCGCTCTGAAATTCAAGGTATTCGTACTTACAATTGGGCAGTCAGCACGTGTGAGATAGTGTTAATGCCTCCCAGTACACTTATCAGCCATTTTAGTGCGGGCCTGTAGAAGAAAGGTGTATTCACCGATGTAGTGGAGCAAAAACAAAGGTTTAATGGCGCAAAGAGATAACAAACGCGTCCATGACTGGCAAAGGTTCGTTTGGCACAGCCCAGCTAAGAGCTCTCCGCTCGTGCGCACAGTTCGCTGTCTTCTTTCTTCTATTAAATATTCAACAATATTTAACGGCCCATCCTCCTTCCTTCCATCCTTAGTTCGTGCCCAGGCTCTCATGAGTACATTTGGTAATCGCTGGTAAACCCGCTTTAACTGCCAATTGAAAATTTGTCTCATGTTGAGCACTGCTGAAAGCAGCTAATCGCGGATTAGATTATGCCTTGCTTGCATGTACCATTTGGAAACAATGATGTGGAAACACGAAGGCTGTGCTGGAAGAGTGGACGACTTGTCAGCTGACATGCAGCATGTGCTTCCGCTTGAAGTCACTTGTTGGTTCTCGTGTCCAGCACATCACTAACACTGTCACTGCCGTAGTGCTTGCTGTACCATACGCATGCATTTTGTCATGAAAGTGTTCATGGTGTCATGGCGTTCTGTCCATGACCACTCTCGGGCACGGCGATGGCGAGCTTGGGTGGCACACTTTGTGGTCTTGCGCAAAGAGGTGCGAAAAACCGTGGAGGGGCACTGTGCTAGGCTACATGCACAACTGAGTGGTTGTGCAACACCAAGGCACCAGTCACATTAATACTTTAATTTGTCAGTGAAACGCACCTGGTTAGAGCACGTGAACGACTTACTATCGAAACTTTGGTTGCTATGTCTAACAGCTTTGGTTTTCCTACTAAGCCGAAAATAACGAATAACTGCGTGACTGGCCATGTGTTCCCAACAGGTGTTGCAGTAGTGGCTGCAGTTCAACCGAATTTTTACATGTGACGGCAAGTGCTCGAGGTCTTGTGGGATGAATTGTGGATGCTCCTTGGAGCTTGCAGTGCATGTAAATGAACTGTGTGATTGGCCTTTGCTGGTGATGTGGGTAATGGCCGCACAAAAGCCCCCTGTCTTCACTTTGAAAATGGGAATGCCAAGGACGCTCGCCTGGGCATCGAAGTTCATGAAGAGGGCTCACTAGGCAATAATCAGTGAGCTCGTTTAGTCAGTCTGGCAGGGACTTGGGGTACTGACAGGGAAGCCTTGGCCTCACATTTTTTTGCTGCAATCTGTTGCTGGAGGCCTATTCGTCATGATGCGGCACATCGTTTGCTGCAGCACATGACAGATAATTAATTAGAGGCTCATCGTTATTGGCCAGTTTCGGTTTGAGAGCACTCCAAAAACTGTACACTGTATGGAGAGTCAGAAGATTCAGCTATGTACAGAGGTTCAGTCCATGATTCCGCTCTTATTTACAAAATGCTTCGGCTTTTATAGCCCGTTAATTCTTTACACGGCCGTCCGAAGAAGGTGGTGTCTACTGTTGCTGCGAATCAGGTGACATGATGTCTCAGTGGTGCACCCACCAGAAAGGGTGCAGTGATTGGGCCATCGTGAGAAGAATGTGGGCGAGAATGTCCAATGGTGGTCACGAGTGCACTACACAATGACGCACCCGGCCTACGCCTTGAAGGCACCGCAAAGCGAGGAGGTAGATTCCGGAGAAGGAAAGTTGAGGTCCTCCGGGGCGATGGCCGCTGACACGAACGTCAGCAGCGGTCCATGGCTGCTTTCAGCTACAGGCTTCCAGAACTGTCTCGAACATGGCAGTCCAATGCTCAATCCCTGAGAATGGCTTCTTCGACGCCTTCACATGCTTCCGGGCTGTCAGCGCTTTTGTGGTAATTTCGCGTCGGCGACAACCGAGTCTAGAGGTTGACTCCATGAGAACCTTCACAGTGGCGCCGTGCCACGCTGTTTGAATCCGTTCAACAAAAAGGGTTGCCTCGCAAAGCTTTCGTTGAGGCCCGACCACTACCGGGAACCTCTACAGGACAGCGTCTAGCTGACTGGGTGCCGATGGGGAGGAAGCCTTCTCGCAGACCGGCTCACGCACAGTGGCGTCTGCTGAGACAAACTGCCGGGCCAAACGTAACAGCACCTCCCAGTCATGTCAGCACACCGGACTGCGACGCACTTCCGCATGGTCCAAATCGATAAGTTCTTTCAAATAGGAAACATCACAGCGGTGTCACCAAACACAAAACTTTCAATGCGTGCTCAACAGCCACGCGCTCGCAACCAGCCACTGAGAGGTATGGACTGCTTTAACAGATGCAGCAAAAAAAAACAAAAAAAAAGAGCAGCTATGACGTCATAACTTGTTTTATTGACTGCATTGTGGTGACTGCAGGTAAGGAGGTTCCCATGGTGTCCCTTTTGATGGTGCCAATACCTTGAGAACTCAAACTTCGTTATTTCTGTAAAATACCTTCCAAGCTATACAGCGGAACACCTAGTTAAATGACTTTCAGGGGACCATGCAAAACCAGGCGTCATATAACCGAAAAACAGTGACACTCAGCCTTGTACCTCTGCAAGGAGGGTAGAATAAATTATTCTTGCCATGTGGTAGCTACCGTAATTACTCGAATCTAACGCGCACTTTTTTTCCGGTTAAGCGAGTTCATAAATCGCTTGCGGGTTAGAATCGAGTACGAAAAAAAAAAATGAATACGGTCATTCTATTGCCATCGGCATTTCCAAAATGGCTGCCCCCTACGTGCGTCGGCATCGCGCGTCGGCCATTTCTGCCTGTGTTTCCCATATGCAGCACTTCGTACGTGTGCTGAGGAGTTCGTCATCTTGTAGTGCATTAGCATCGACAGCATGGAAGGGCCGACTCCAAAAACTCGAGTGCACCACAATGCCGCTTTTAAAAGAAAAGTCATCGCGTGTGCAGAAACGGACGGAAATCGGGCTGCATTGCGGTCGTTCGGAGTTCCCGAAACGCGCGTGCGGGACTGGCGGAAATAAAACCAGATGATTGTCGACAGCAAAGCTTCACCCAAAGGCTTCAGTGGACCACTGCAGGGTTGGTTTCCGCAAATTGAAGAACTGCTCGGCCAGTATATGCTTGAGCAGCGAGCGGCACAGCGGCCCGTGACGACAGATGTGCTCCAAGTGCGGGCTATGCAATTAGCCTTATAAAAAGGTCGAACGCGGAGCCAGTTTAAAGCGAACAGGTGCTGGCTAACCAACTTTATGAAGACGAAAGGCTTTTGCGTCCGAAGGTGAACGGGCATATGCGAAAAGTTTTGCACAGGAGTTCGATGAAAAGCTTCACAGTTTTCAGAGGTTCGTCCTAAACTTGCAGCACAACAACGGCTACCTCCTTGGGCAAATCGGGAATGCCGATCAGACGCCTCTTTACTTCGACGTGCCTGGCACCACAACCGTGGAGAAAAGGGGGGCGAAGGAAGTTCGCGTGCTGACATCGGTCCACGGTAAAACTACAGTGACGCAATGCTCTGTTACACGTCAGATGGGCACAAGCTTCCCCCGTACCTCATATTTAAATGGAAGACGCTCCCGAAAGGAGTTGTTTTTTCGAGTGGTGTGATCATGCGGGCCAGCGAGAAAAATGGGTGCGCGTTGCGATTCATGTCTTACTTTTTTTTTTTTTTTTTCGTTGTGGAAATCGGGTGCGCGTTACAATCGAGGGCGCGGTAGAATCGAGTAAATACGGTAGTAGCAGCATTGCGTGGCAGCACGCCGCTGGAGTGCCTGCGCACGTTTTTCATCCATATCTCACGTTGAGCTGCCTTTTCTGCACTGAACGAGCGATGTTCGCGCCAGCGACTTCAGGCTAAAGTCTGCCAGTAGACTGGTGCAGATGAGGTGAGAGTTTTTGTGGCGTGGATGTTAGCCTCCCCCTCCGTGCCCTACTTCTGTACAGAGGCGACCGCAGAAGGCGCTCAATATAGTGAATCATGCCATCTGTAGAGTGCCTTGATGCTCGCACATCGAGGCACTCGAGCCGTCTGCTCACCGCTACGCCGCTGGCTACACCAGTGGTGTCACGTGACCAGTATAGAGCCTTGGTGTACTCTCCGGTTTCCTGGGCTTTTTCATCCGTTCTTGGAAGACACACGTGCGCGTGCGTTATGCGAGGTTTGTGTGAACCCGTGACGTTGTGTGTGTGCATCATGTGCAGTTTAGTGACCATCAAAGTAAAATGGCACTGCCGGTGCCCGCACAGAAGGGTCTGACATTTGAGCAGAAAGTTCAAGTGATACTTGAGATGGAAAAAGACAGGCAGAAGTCTGAAATCGCTAGAGGACTTGGAATACCACTGTCAACATTATCAACTTTTTTGAAGAATGAAGATACCGTACTCGGCGGCGACGAGAAGAGTTTCTCAGCCAAATGAAAGCGCAACCGTGATTCTATGTGTTACGAAGTGGAAAGAGCACTTCTCAAATGGCTGAAAAACGCTAGAACTGCAAACCTTCCTCTAAATGGGCCTGCGTTGACCGCTAAAGTTGAAGCTGCAGTCGCCCAAATGGGCAAGCAAGTTAGAAGTGTGGCAGTTTAGGCTAGTTGGTGTGACATGACAATAGTTATAGTGCGAGAACAGAACGAAGTCTCCTTCTTGTCTCTTTGTTGTCGTTCTGTTCTCGCGCTATAACTATTGTCAGGGTGAGCAATATTTCAAATGCAGCAATGGCTGACTTGAATATTTTAAGAGACGGCACGGCGCGTCTTTACAGTGAAATCTCGGTAGAACGAACACCACTTTAACAAGCTTTTCAGATTAACAAACTTTTAAAAGATCCCGTGTCGACTGCTAATAGTTTCAATGTAAAAGTATCTCACTACTACGTACTTCAAAATAACAAGCGTTAATTAAGGTCTGCGTGATCGTAACCGTGCCTCAGTACTACGAACTCATCTTCTGAAATCCCTTACGACCACCAAAGCGGTACCCAAGCAGACGACACAGCGAATTAACGCCTTGCTTCTCGGAAGACGCCCGACAGTGTGGAGGGAGAAAAAAAAAAAAACAGGACTACTTTTTTTTTCTTTCTTTTTAACGCCTACGCTGCAGGTTTACAAACGCAGAGGTGAGGAGCGAGGGCAAGGTCAGCGAGGCAGAGGGCAGAGTGGGAGTTGCAGGCGCGGAAAACCTGAGGCAGCGAGGGAGCAGAAAACGAAGCACGAGAAATTTTCTTTTTTAGCATTTTTTTTTCTTCGGAAGACGCTATGACAGCCGCCACTCCTCGGGTTTTACTTGCATTGTCACTTCTACATGTGCTCTAGGAGGCCTTGTCAGTCGTGTTCATCTCTTTTCGGCGACTACTTATCGCGTCCGCAAAGCAAGTCAGCGTTCGCGCTGCGGTGCTACTACAAACGAGTTCATCTGTACTTGCGACGAAGATGCAGAAGCAGTTTTCTCTAAGCGAGAAAGTGGATATTCTTCGGCAACTGGAAGGCAAAAAGCAGGCTGTTGTAACCAAAGAACCGAATGGCACCACAGGAGTGTGGATAAGCTGGAGGCCTAAGCACTGCAAAGTTTGTGCTGCAAGTGTCAAGAAAAAAAAAAGAAACACAGACTTCTTTAATGTAAACGTGCATTTTTTTTCTCATGAAAAATGAGTTCAAGGACCCATCGTTGTAAAAGTAAGTCGTTTCGGTCGGTGGGAAATAAGTATTTATGAGTAAATTTTTGGGCTTCACTATAACGACCTTTCAAACTAGCAAATTGCCGCGGCCCGTTGAAGTTCGTTATACTGAGATTTCACTCTTATTTGTTCGTTGGTGAAAGTGTAGCCGTGGACCGCGAAGTTGTGGACGGATGATGCAAGCATCGCAGTAGCATGAAGATAGAGACATTTACAACTTTGACAAGGCAGCATTCTTTTACAAACTGTTGCCAAAGCGCGCACGTACATTACACCAGTGGAAGCTCGTCAGGATGTAAACAAAGCAAAGTATGCATTACAGTGCTGTTTGGTGTTAATGCAACGGGGGACAACAAGCTTCCTTTGCTGATACTGGGGAAGGTGGCATAGCCCTGGTCGACTAGGCAGCCAAAATGGTTGACTTTGCTGGGAGGGACCCGATGAGGAAAGATGAGCCACTACACAAACAACCTCTTGAAATACCAACAGTGGCACAAACGCAGGAGAGCCTCCGTCTGTTGCAAAATAGAGTGGAGTGCGCGGACGGCGTCACGGCCTCATAATTTGCGTGAACAAACTGGAGCAGGCACTCCTCGCGTCCAGCCGAAGCACCCGACAAAGCCAGCTGACTTCTTTGTGCATGAATAAAGGTGTGTTTCACTGAATACCACTTCCGAGAACTTGCTATGGCGAATTTAGCTGTACTTGCCGAGCTTTAATGGGGCAGTCACATACAGTAGACTCCTTTTAAATGAAACCTGAAGGGACCAGGAAAATTGGTTTCATTTAAGAGGAGTTTCATTTACTGAGAGGTAAACGGGGGTACAATATACAAGTACGAAACCAATCTTATTGGAGGCAGTTAGGGGCAGTTGTTCCACTTAAGCAGCAATTTCGTTTAAAATAGTTTCGTTTAATGGGAGTCTATTGGATATCGAATCACCGCTTATGTAGAATTGTCTTGCCGTCTCGCTGACTTTATTATAATGAGGGTTTACTTGTGAAGTGCAACTGGTTATGTCCTGCTGTTAGTATGAACGTTGACATCAAGTGAGAATAGTTCATTTTCCACGGTGAAAACAGCTGCGTTGTGCCCTCATGTGTGCGGAAGCCTCTGACTACAAGTGCGACAAAAGCTGTATGTCGAGCATGAAAAGTTTCTACAAATGCAAAACATGATGATATCAGCTTTTCGACCGGCTGAAGCTACTCTATGTGGATAGAGCTTGACTGGGTAACGACCCGAGATATGTATGCGTGTGATGGAGGCGTATGTAGAGGATCATGAACTTCCAGGAGAATAAATTTTTCATTCTAAGAAGACATCCTGTCTCACTCTGCACTTTTCTAATTGTTAACCTAGGAGAATGCAAGTTCATATTGTGCACTCGGGAATATTCGGTTGCTGTTTGATTCAAGTCAATGTGTTTGTTTTTTTCTTTCGGATGGAACCTCAAAGTCGTCGTAAGATGCTGGGTTGGTGTGAAACTGCGTCATAATCAAGGTTTTTGATACATTATTTCTATGGGGATTTCGCCAGGACCAAACCAACTCGCCGTTAATCGGGAGTCATCACGAAATCGGGGGATGCGTAATCGAAGTTCTACTGTATTCGCTGTTGGTAATTTGCAGATTATATATGCATGTTCACGGGAATTGATCCTGCAGGCCGTCTTGACCACGAAAGTTTGCCAGTAGCCCCTTTAAAATTAGTTTTCATTGTGGAAGGTGGTTGTGTATTTTTTGTTTTTTGCTTCTCTGTTTATCTGAATTGCACTGTGTGTGTGAGCCATACATGTCTTCTGTATTCTAGGGTTGAACTCGCGTAACACAATCTCTCTGGTGGCTTCATCTCGTTTCGTCTATTGCAGCCCTAATTGCCACGTTTGGGGACGTCAACGCCGCAGTGGAGAGGTTGCTGCAGTCACAGTGAAGCAACTTAAGCAGCTGCTGCGGAAGAGGAGGACAGAGTGCGCTGCGGGTGCTGTGAAGGACTGGTGGGGCAGGGATCAACCAAGTGTGAGAGCAACAGTGGTGGGCCGAGCTTTGCAGCCAAGCAGCAGCTGTCTGTGTTCGAGGGGGTGCGTGAAATGATGAGGAGGTTGATAAGGAAGGGAGAGGAGGGACCCCCAGAGAGCATCCCCCCCCCTTTTTTTTAAATTTCTCTCATTCATTTGACTCAGGGGGTCGCACATGCACCTCTCTCTCTCTCTCACTCACTCTCCTCATTTTGTATACATATATAAATAACTGTTTGCACGTCCAGTATCTGCCACTCGACGAGAAGAGGACCAGTGTGGTGACAGTGGGCATGCAGGTGTTGCGCACTTCTGCGAATCAGCTGGCCACGCCCTCCTGTCTACTGCTTGAATATATTTTTTTTCCGAAAGTGGCAAACGGAGAAATTAAACTAGAGGCAACAAGTAGTTGAAGATACCGATAAGCGCGCGTGCTTTGGTACATTTGTTGTGCCCAAGGCAGTGGCATTTAGGGATTGCTGACAAGTGCGTGTGCAGGTGTGTACATTAATTTTCTTGTTTGTTTCTTTTGTTTTCTATATTTGTTGTTTATTTTTCGGACATTCTGAAAATACTTTCATAGGAAATAAAAGCAGTTCATGCAGAGGACAATAAATAGCCTCTGCATTGTGGGTCTTTTTTTTTCTTCTTGTTTTGTCTATTGTGCTAGTTTTGTTAAGATGAAGTGACTGTGCAGACAGATGGCAATGTTTTGCTGATAGAAAGAATTAAATTACTTTCCATTACGGTGGTTTGTTGTCGGTGGATGGTTTGTTTTACAGGGATGCACTTTTGCAAGTGACGCAGAAAGTGTGACTTGTGTGGCTGCAGAATACATTTTTTTGCTGGCTTTTGTTTACGCGCCAGGAATGCCTTGCACAAATACACTAGCCCTTGATATGTAGAACCTGGACATAATAAACTATCTGTTATTACAAATGTAAATTAAGAGTAGTCTTCCAATACTGTTAGGAATCCACTTTTATGACGAATTTTCGGTTATCACGACATCATTTTTGTTTAAGGTGCAACTTTTTTATAATGAAGTGTCAGTGTACCATTCTGGAGAGAGCCAAATCAAATTTTTTCAAGGATACTGAAACTTATTTGGTGTTCTCCCTATAGGTGCGGTCAAGTCTTGTAAGGCAGTGTGGTCAGGCATGAAAACATGCTTGTTTATACCTGGCATACATTATAAGCAACACAGGAAGTAAGCATTTGGTGAATCTGAAAGAAATGCAAGTGGGCTGCTTGCTCCAGACTTGCATGGAAGATTCAGCAGAACGCTCGGCTGCTGGCCGAGCTGTTCTGTGGCACCATAGACTCTCCAATAAAACATGACTTTGTGCCTTGCATCATCGCCAATTTATTGTGATAGCACAGACCGTTTTGCTATCGCAAGGTTGGCAGGTCCGTTTGCCAGCTGTGGTGCGACAAAGCGATTGGCCAAAGTGTCCAGAATGTTCTATATTAAATAGCTATAGCAGGCTGTGCTTGCAGCCCATTTTTCAGGGATCAAGTACGTGCAGCCTGATGCAGTGTCAATTCAGCCCACAATTTCTGTTGCACACTCTAGAACTGAAAGGTAATGCATATACTTTGGAGGTGGCATAAAGGAAGTTAAGAACCTAGTTAAACGTATAACCAATCACTACAAAGACCAGAGAGATACCGTATTTACTCGCCTAATTCTTGCAGCCCCTACATTGCCCAACAAAAATAAGATTTTTTTTCCTAGAGTAATTATCGCACCCCCGAAAAATGTCGTTGATGATGATGACGCACGCTATCTGGTGCCATCTAGGCATCAAGCGTATTATTATTGCACAGAGATTCAATCGAAGCCAAGCCAAAGTGGCAAGTGCGCGTTGCGGGGTGTTTAGTATGTTGTGTCGGTAATCTTGTCATGTTGTGGGGCGATACTGATACTGAAGCTACACAGCTGCTTTCAAGTTGAAAGTGATTGATCATGTACTAAACAACGGCAACAGGTCCGCCGGTAGGCCCTTCGGAGTCTACGAGTTTTGTGTTCGCTACTGGTGACTGCAGCGGAAAGCCACCAAGACGCGTTGGGCCTGCAGTGTGACTGGGATTGATGGTAAACTTTATTTCTTCAGAAGGAAACTGAGAACGATTCTGTTAAATAGCCATCAGCCCAATACTAACAGCCTACTCTTGCCTTTTAAGGGCTCCTGTTAAGCGACGAATGCTACTGCTATGCCCGCAACTCCCACAAGCTTTGCGTATAGTATTCTAATTCTCAACTATTTGCTTGCACTTTTTGTGTCTCAAATAAATCTTGCCTTGTGTTGAACCTGTGCTTTTATTTTTGAGGTAAGTTATAAACAGTATTTCTCAAAGCTTGCTGTTAGTTGCCGGTGTGAGAATCCCGATTCGCGGCCACATCTTTTTTTTTTTTCGCTCTGTACGTTTTCGTGAAAAGTTTTCCCCAAGTGATTATTGCACCCCCAACTTGCATCGGGTTTCCGCCAAAAAAAGTGCGAGGATTATGCGAGTAAATATGGTAAGTTTTTTAGCTTTAGTAGAGACATGCACTGTGCAATTGGAAGTAACAATAGCTTTTTAGGTGCAAATTATGATACTAATGACTGTTTTTGCACACAGGTGTCAGATATAGGTACCGTAAGCAATAGGATTCTAAATTACGCCAATATGATTGTAATGTAGTCGATTGCTGCAACGAAGCATAAGTGTTTGCTGTAATATAAGCAAATAAGCAGTGAAAAATTTCCAGTCCCTTGGTCATTGCTGAAGAGAGCATCAGCAAATGTGTATGACCTCTTGAGATTGTATGATTTTAATGAAATGCTAGAGATCTTTATCCACTTTGTGTGCTTGATAAATGGATGATTAGAATATTTCAGGGCTGTCTTAAAATTGATGTTATTCAATTGCACTGTCGTACCTCAAGGGATTGATGGCTGTCGCGTATTCAAAACCTGAGCCCTACACCAAGAACATAGCTCGTGCCTAACTTCTCCCTTGTCTTCTACGATGCTCTGCTTCTTGTTGCTGTCCATCCACAATCATCAGCAACATGTTCCCCAGGGGCCAAGGCGGTGGATTCTCCCTCACTTTCTTTCAGAATATAAGCCTTCCAAACTGGTCGTCTGATTTCCTTTCCAATGGCCTGTCCTAGAGTATAGATGCGCACGCACACACTTCACTGGGTGCATTGACTTATTTCTGTTCAGCAATGGTGCCCCTCGACATGCCCTGTACCCTGTAGTCGCATACAAGCGCGTAGCCTGTTCTCACACAAGCACAATCACCTGCGCGCTGCCAAGGCATTTCACGACCAGGCCCATAGCGCACGAATTGCTGTAATAGGAGGTATGACCACTTCTCTCAGATTCCTCGGTGCGCTGGAAGACGCTCAACATAGGACGCGTGGCAGGGAAGGTCCTCTCTTGCAAATGCTTGTAGCCGGAGGAGGTAGCTCATTGCAGAAAGTTTACGTCACGTCTTCTGAGTAAACATTGTAATTGTGTCAGTGATTAAGACTTTGACTATTGTCAAGTTACACATGAAGTGACAAAGAGTTGAAACTCCACAGATTGTAGTCATGAGTCCCTCAGCGTTGAAACTGTTGCTCCCAAGTGACCACCTCAATGCAGCTTTTGTAGATCAATTGACGCTCTGACCAGCCTCCCCACCAAGGAATTCTGTCGCCCACAAACTTCAGCAGACAGTTGGCTGACATCGGAAGACAGTGAGCATCTACGCAACATCAGCGTCGAGCTTTGAACTCTTCTGCTGGAGATCCATCTGACAGAGATAACTTGGCGCGGGCGGTGAAGCGTTAAACACAGTGGGAAGCGTCGTGATGGCACCTCGGTGGATGACTGTGTGGTAAGACATAAAATATACATTGTCCCTTTGCAGTGTTTCAACTCTCCCTGCACGTTCTTCGTTGACAGACGCTGTCACTGCCGGTTTATCCTGGTTCAGGAGTTCGCATTCTTCCATGACATGTGCATAGCACTCGGCTGAGCTTTGATTGACGCTGACTGAAGGTATCTCTGCACCTTGCTCATTCAGCGGCACTGGAATTCGACCACGAAAGTTCATTGTGCTCTTCTCAAATGTCTTAAATTCTGGCAGAGCCTTGTTTTTTCTCTTCACAGATGGTTCGATTCCGATGATGTCGAGACACCGCATCGCAGAAGCTTCGCAGTCAGGAAGAGAAGTCGGGCTGCAATTCCAGCAAGTGCAGATGCCGTTGGTAGACGTCCCACTGGTACTGTCGGGGGTTGAACGTCCTGTTCGGGTAGTGAACGTGAGAAACCCAACACCATTCGTCCTGGCCTGCCTTCCTCCTGGATCTCAATCTGAATGCGAACGAAATTGAGCAATTCGACAGCCTGGAGAACTTTCTGTTCAAATGTTGCGATGCCAGATGTTTCCTGCGGTGCTTCCTGTACCTTCTGGTGGTAGAGAATAGCGAGATTAACCGGCAGACACTTTATTAAGACGCGGTTGAGGACTACGTTGTACTGCTCAGGTGGGACGCCCATACCGGTCAATGTGGAGACTCGAAAGTTGACCTTGTAAAGCAGGTAAAGCTTCCCCACTCTGCTGACAATTTGACTGGCGCTAAGGCGAGCAGGTGGTCAATGTGCTCATTGACGAGCAAGTCGCGTCGACCAAATCGCTCCGTGAAGGGCTTGATCGCGATGTTGTAATTGTCTTCAATTAGTCGGATGCCCTCGATTGCTCTCTTTGCTGCACCACTCAAATAGGACTGAAGGTACTTGAACTTCTTGATCTGTAAAAAGTCTTCAGTCAGGTGAATCGTGGCACTGAAATAGTCCCAGAAGGACTGCCAATCGCGAAGTGCGCCGGTAAACGTCGGAATCCGTAGTTTCGGCAGGACCACCGTGTGATGACGTGGCATCGTTCCTCGATTGGGAATTGTATCCGCTACTCAAGGTGAGTCACTGACCTGGCTTTGGGCTGTGGTGCTGGGACAATTAGCGTCGGCGTTCGGTGATGTAGCCACCGATCCCGCAGCACTCCTTACTGTCACCTTGTCTGCGGCCTCTCGGAGGAAGAAGCGTGCTCGTGACACGGCGTAAGAGACCCTTCGGTCGTACTCTTCCGCGACCTTGAGATCTTCCTCGTAGTCGTCGTCGTCAGTCGCATAGAATATTTCTTTGTTTAAGGTGACGAGTTCAGCATTCTTCTGAGTGAGGTAGGCAACGTAGGAGTTGACCTGACTGGCATCGGGAACAGAGGCTTGCAGCTTGTCGGTCAGGAGCGTGATAGTTCGTGTGACGCTGGCCCTGACGACGCCACGGTTCTTGCGCAGCGATTCCAACGACGCCATCGAAAGTAGAAGTCCTGGAAGTGCGTCACCGGGGGGGGTTTCGGCAACGGAATGATGTCGCGTATTCAAGACCTGAGCCCTACACGAAGAACGTCCCTTTATTCCGACCGCTCGTGCCTAACTTCTGCCAAATTCTTCTACGACGTTCTGCTCTTGTTGTCGCCCATCCACATCATCAGCAAGAATGGCATCATGATGCCACTGACTCTGGCAACTTGTGATGCCAACGTCGCTGCATCTCGTAGGTTAGAGACAAAAGAGGAGTGGCTACAGCGGCTGGGGTTGATGTCTGTGGCTACTTTACGACCCCATCTGGTGACAAAAAATTGCAGGTTGGCACCACGGCTACTTTCTGTACACATTTTAAATTCTGTTTGGGCCCACCAAGTAGCCATTTCCTA